ATTTACAGCCCTATTCCGGTTTTGCAATAGAATGACAATTAATCATCCTTCATTGTCGTGATTTTGTCATTGTCGTTGCACGTTGGCATTCCTAACAAAAAATGACAAGCGAAAAGCTTTTGTCAACTTACCATGCATGGTGAAAAGTTCATTGTTGTATGATTATGCTTACAGGATACTTGACTCAAAATTATCGATTACTTGGTATCGAACGAAAAGTATCGAGTATGCACTTGTATTTACTCGTATCGTTTCATCCCTAAATGCACCTCTGTCGAAATTTTATTGAAAATTCATATTCTCAGCATAATCATTTGCAGAAATGGATATTTGTGGAAATGTTTTGGTGTCAAAAGATGTGCTTAAATTTGCATTAAAGTGTTTATATTGTGAAACAAATATTGAAGAATGGGAAGCGTTCGTTAGTCATATTCAAAGTTTGCACTACACGGGTTATGAGGAACCATGCATTGATATAATAGAACAAGCAGATTGCAAAGAAAACATCGCTTTCGAATGGGTAAAAGAAGAAGCTGTGACACCCACTGCATGCGGACAATCTGAATCAAATGAAAATGGTTTAAAAATGGAAATAGATTCCGATGAGGAATGCCTGCAAACGGAGGTAAGTACATGCAACCTTTAATATAAGGTGAAATTCTTTTAAAAATTTAATTTTTTATATTACCTTACAGCCGATAATAGACATACAAGACCAAGATCCAGTTTCGGATAATGAAAAATTATCAGATTATAATGAAAACTTGGATAGCTCCGATGATGATTCTTCAGATGACTACATTGCAAAAAATAAAAAGCCACCTAAAAAGGTTTGTTTTCTGTATATACATGTAATTGTTTAGCTAAGGAATTAACACTGTGTCATTTTCAGTTCAAACCATCTTTTTATAGGAAAAACAAAAATACATCGGTATTAATTGAACTCTTTGAGAAGGCCCCATGTTTATGGGATCCCAATAACGCTGACTATAACAACAGCACTGCAGGCTCCAACAGTAGGAGGGAAATAATAAAAGAGATGAACAAAACATGCCAAATAACATTAACCAATAAAACACTTTGGGCAAGTCTTCGTGAGTTATATTCTTTATACAAGCTAACGCATAAGAAATCGGAAACAGCATCAACAAAACTGTCCACAGTAGTGCTGGACTATTTGGAGAAGTGTTCATTTCTTTCTGCAGCAAAGGATGACTTTTTAGACATTTTTGAGGATACTCCTAACACAACCACGGTAAGTGCCTTCATAAAAGTTTGCATACAAAATAACAGCTACATATGTATACAAACATTTATTTTCAGAATCTGAGCTTTGCAACTATGAACACGGCAACTATAGCGTTTATCGACACATATGCCCGTTTTCCCGGAATTTATGATACTAAGCATATAGACTTCGGATATGTGCTTTTACGTAAACAGAGGTACAAAGAAATGGCAGATATTCTCAGAGTCGAATACAACGTCGAGTTTACTGACGAAGAAATATACAAAGGTATAGATTACTTGCGTCACTGGTATTTTAAGCTGAAAAGTCGTTTTGGAAAAAATTTGAAACCAACAGATTTGTCAAGCGCAGCACAGTTTTATATTGACAAGTTAAGTTTCCTTCCAGATAGATCGCGCAAACAGAAAATTAAATGTTCAGAATGCGATAAGCGTTTCCAAACTAACACTATAAAGCAAGTACACCTCTTCAAAGAACACAATATCGGTGACTTACCCTATAAGTGCAAAGATTGCACTAAAACCTTTAGTTCAAATACAGCCTTGAGGGGCCATGAACGACGTAATCATATGGAGAAAGTTCATAAATGTGAGTTTTGTGAACGAAAATTCGCCGTAATAGGAGATTTAAAGCATCACACGCAAATGCATACGGGACACAAGCCCTTCGTATGTGAATTATGTGGAAAAGCCTTTCGCACACGCACAAAGCTGGGATTTCATAATAATGCTATACATACAAAGTTAAGAGCATTTAAGTGCACTATGTGTCCTAAAGATTTCTTGAAAAGTCGAGATCTAAAAGATCACATAAAAGCTCATTTAAACATTCGCGATAAGATTTGCGAGACATGTGGCAAGGGATTTACAAACTCACATGCCCTGCTCCGGCATAAACAATTACATGCTGAAGTTAAAAAGTTTGGCTGTAAGTTCTGTGAAAAAAGATTCTATCAATTTGTGGGCCTTAACTCTCATATGAAGCACAAGCATGGTGTGTTTCCGCAGAAGAAACTTGAGAAAAAACCTCAAAACACGAAAGCGACTAAACAAGTTGCAAAAAACATGGAAACCACAGAGTCGGTTGGAAGTATTGAAGAAAAAACGGACACTGCATTAGCGGCTACAAGTAATGAATGAAGTGTATTTATCTAGATTTTAAATTTTACTAGTATTAAATCATTGTCTTAGTTATAATTGCTTCAATATTAAAGGTTTTCTATGTATTAATGTATCCGTAACATTTACTTAGGTGGTGTGACCACCCAAACCCACCTTAAACGAAAGAGGATGTTAGAAAAACAGAACTATCCCAATAAACACAACAAAAAATATTTCACCAACCTTGGAGAAATTCATAGTTCTCAAGTTTGATATCCAACATCATTCTCCAACTCATCTCTAACCCACGCGCAGATACGTAAAAAGTGATAAAGATACGTATTTTTAATTATCAATTGAAAAACTAAAGCTATATAGAGGGGAAAACTGCCAACGAAAAGTAAATAATGTTCAAAGTATCCTCAAATATTATTGAAAGAAAATAAAACGCGAAGTGAATCAAGTGGCAAAATTACTGTCGGGCTGTATACTGTGAAGTGAATTATTATAATACGATATTGATTAACTACATAATACAAAAGGAGTATTAAAATGAAAAATTAATATTTAAATTCATCTATATATGTCGTTTCAATCAGAAAGGTATAAGGTATTTTACAATTTCAATTTCAGTATTTCAATATGTTTGAGACTAATTGGAGAAATACATTAGAGTTCAAGTTGAGAACTAGCATTTTCTCAACTTGAGGAAAAGTCCTTTTTTAATACAAAGAAAAATGCCCTTTTTGTTGAGAACGCTATGACCTCACGTTGAGCTCAAACCTAAATGTCTAATGGGTACGATCGAAATGTAGAATAGATATAATCGTAAATTTCGAAGATTGATCGAAAGGAAACGGAACGCAGAATAACAAAGTTGCCAAAAGCTGAAAATTTCGATTCGAGTCGAAATGCAGAATAGGGCTGATTATCGCACAGCACGTCTGTAGGCAACAGGCTGTGAGGTATCAAAAATGTCAAAATTCCTTGGACACACGCGAATTAATGGCAATTTTTTCTTGACCGTTTTCTTGAGAGCTGCATACATATTTCTTATTTTAGGCGGACTGAGCAGTCCAGTGTGCGGAGGCCCAATTACTTTGTTCGCTCCCCAATTACGATCGCGAATTACTCCATTCCCATGCGCACTTAATTCGATTTGATAGTTCTCAGTCCCTGTGTTTTGATTTTGTTTTTCTGCGCTGCTAATTGATGCAAATTGTAGGTTCTTCCTAAAAATTTATAAGTTTCCGTATTAAATTAGGGATATACACACTGATAAACTTTAATTTCTCGTACTCAGAAAAAGGCTAGATTTGATTTGAGAGCTAGTTTCGATAAATTTCCGATAAAAATTTGAGACGGCACCGATTTGATCGTAATTTTTATGGTAATTGGATCTGAACTACCAAGAAATGAGAAAATTCGCTCTCAAAATTTTGAATGGCGAATTACGTAGCTCGATGCGTTATTGGAGTGCGAATCACGAATGAGAGAGCGATTTAAGTACTGGGATGGTGTGGGAAAGCCGTATATCGGGAGCGTTCCTTATCTCCCAGAAATAGTCAGAAAAAGTCCGAAGTAGTCAGGTTTAGTCCAAAAAGCGTTCCTTAACTCGGAAATGACAGCAAAAATGGGAGAGCAACATTCAGTGAGAGTGACTCTCATCAGTCCGAAGTAGTCAGATTTAGTCAGAAGAATTTTTGCTGGCAAAATCTTGAAAAGTGTCAAACTCAACTGAATACAAATTAACGGAAATTAAAGAATACGCATAAAGTGAGAATAATCTAAAAACTAAAAAAAGGGAATTGAAATCGGAAGGAGGCAAAAAATAATTGATATAGTAAGTGTTTATTGTGCTTGTGCTTGTGTGAATGTGTTTTGTACATACATTTCCATTCTTATTTGACGTCTGTTTTGTTGTTGCCATTCTTTGGACTAAAAATTTGGTTTTTTGCGTTCCTTTACTTTTTCTGTTATTCTCTTTTAGTGAGCGCATTTTGCTTACGCTCTGGCATTTTGACACTTTTCAGATTTTAGTCCAAAAGATAAGGGATGAACCTATCATTCTTGAGTGTGTTTATCGAACATACCTAAAATTTCTGTTTATACACTTCTTCTTTTAAAATGGCCATTCACAAGTGTCTTACTTGCATCATTGCGAATAGCAAATTGAAAAAATATACAATCGTCGAATTCCGTGATCACACAATTGTTCCGTGAACATTTTTGTTGAGAAAAAATGGATATTTGCGGAAATGTTTTGGTTTCAAAAGATGTGCTTAATTTTGCATTGAAATGTTTATACTGTGAAACAGATATCGAAGAATGGGATGCCTTCGTTAGTCATATACAGAGTTTGCACAACACTAACTACGAAGAGCCTTGCATTGATCCGCTTGTGGATTTGGATTACAAGGAGCACATTGTTGTCGGGTTAATAAAAGATGAAACAATGGCACCGCATGCATTAACAGAATTTCTTGACAATGATGCTGATGTTAAAATGGAAGTTGATTTCGGTGATGAACTAATGAAGGCTGAGGTATAATTAATAAAATTATAAGTATGTGTGTATGTACGCCCTTTTCTCTATTACAGCCAGGAGATAATGATGATACAAGTTCAGACGCTGATCAAAGCCAAAACAATGATACAGCTGAATTCAGTCCAGGCTCAGAATCGTCCGAAGAAGATGATGAAGATAAAAAAGAAATTATACGTAACAAAAAAGTAATGTGTTTTAAAAGCTTTAAAAAATCTTTAAATCCGTGGAGATGGCTAATGTTTTCTTATTTACAGTTTAATCCAACATTTTATAGACGAAACACTAGCACATCGGTTTTTATTGAGCTTTACAAAAAAGCTACATGTTTATGGAATCCCGACGATGAGCATTATAAGAATAGTGCAGCACGAGCAAACTGTCAAACGGAAATAATAGACGAAATGAAGAAACGCTTCCAGATTACGTTAAGTAATCAAACTTTGCGAAGTTGCTTCCGAAAGTTGTACTTGCAATATCAAGCCACTCATCAAGCAAAGCAGAAAAAACCAAAATCCAAGCCGAAAAAATTACCAACTGTTGTGTTGGATTATTTTGAGAAATGTTCCTTTTTATCTGTTGCGAAGGATGAATTTGCCACCATTGTATTAGATACGCCACCCAATACAAACACAGTACATAAATAGTCAAAATCTTCTCGGTTAGATTTAAATTTTTTGCTCTTTTTATTGTTTTTCAGAACATAAGTTTTGCCAAACTCAATCCTACAACAGAGGCTTTTATTGAAGCATATGGCGGCTTTCCAGCGCTATACGACCCCAAACATGACGATTACAACAACTCCGCTGTCCGCAAGCAAATGTATAAAGAAATGTCTAATATTATCAAAACTAAGCAAAATGTGGAGCTCACCGAAGATGAAATTTACAAAGGCATCTATTACTTGCGTCATTGGTATTTCAAGCTAAAGAGTCGACTTGAAAAGGATTTAGACGAAAAAGATTTATCGAGTGCTGCAAAGATTTATCTAAAAAAGTGTGACTTCCTCCCAGATAGACCACCTAATTTAAAATTAAAGTGCACAGAATGTGATAAAGTTTTCCATAACGTGACCACAAGACAGAGTCATCTCTTCAAGGAGCACAACATTGGCGATTGGCCCCACAAATGTACTGAATGTGGACGAACCTTTGAGTTCAAAGCTACATTATTAATGCACGAGCAACGTAGCCATGTGGGAAAAGTGCATAAATGCGATTATTGTGAAAGACGATTTGCTGTGCTAGTGGATTTACAACGGCACATTGATTCGCACACTGGAAAAAAACCTTTCGTATGTGAGTTATGTGGTAAAGCATTTCGCAGTAAAACCCAATTGGGCTATCACTCAGATGCAATACATACGAAAACACGAGCTTATAAATGTACGATGTGCCCCAAAGATTTCTTAAAAAAGCGCGATTTGAAAGATCACATAAAGGCTCATCTTAATATACGCGATAAAATATGTGAAACCTGTGGCAAAGGTTTTACAAACTGCCATTCACTTATACGACATAGACAAATACATTCCGAAATTAAGAAATTCGCTTGTAAACTATGTGAAGCGAAGTTCCACCAATTTGTAGGCTTAAATTCACACATGAAGCGCACGCATGGCATTGTCAAAAGTCAACAAAAGTCTTAAATTAAAACTCGTTTTTTGAATGTTAATTGATTTTTTTATCACATCATAGGCGGGTGTATGTCGAATTTTTAAACACCGATATACGATGTACAGAATATCCTTTTTTCCATACAGTAAACCTTTTAGTGTGGTCAATAATGATATTGTTCAAATAAGGTAGATCGGAATATGCGCTCTCTGGGAAGACAATATCTGTTATTATTGTACCATGATCAACGTCATGATAAGAAAATCCTTTTCAATTAGAAGTAGTGCAGAAATTATTCTTTGGCATGAATTATTGTTCTCTTTCTAATGCTTAAGAACTCGCGATTGAAATTTACATTTATGTTTCTTATAGGCGAAGCGATTATTTGCTTAAATTTTTAGATACTTGCGTTTGATAGTAAATTCGAGCAGGGGCAACGATATACAAACAAAAAAATCAATAAATATGTATGTATTTAAAGGGAGTATTTTTAATCAGCTAAGCTATTACCTAAAGGTGAATAGCAAAAATAAATATCTCAACTACAGATTAATCAATTGCATGAATACATTATAATTCTAAGGTCAGTAAATTTTAAGTTCGTATTGTGTGTTTCAATAAATAAAAAACTGCTACTGAGACATTTTTTATCTTTTATTCGCTATTATTTAGTTTATCTACGCCTTCCTGATTCTCTAACAGCTAATTTCACGAAAGCAATTTAAGTGAAAAATTATTTAATTTTTTTGAATTTTATATGGATATTGAAAAAAATAAATAAATTAAGAACCATTTTCCATTTAAATTGGATATTAGATTTATGTTTTTTTTTTTTTAATAGGCTGATGGCCAGGCTAAAATTATTTTTCGACGTTAAATTGAGAAAATTTTCCAATACAGAACCAGGCTTTCGAAAAAAATAAAACTTGGGGGGTTTATAGCGGGTCCCCCTGATTCTAAATCCGTAAACCGCCCCTCCGGAGGCTTATAGCTTTTAAGTAATTTGCATTTAAAGTTGCAAAAAATGTCGAATTCAACCTCACTTTTTGCTTTGTAGATCAATTGAACTGAAATGTCGGTACGGCCACACATAACAAAAAGTTCCCAAAAAAACACTGAAGACGGGAGACAATAATAACGCACATATTACGGTTTTTTCACTATATATCGATATATTGATTTAAAAACAAACGCCGCAGTCTAAAATAGCGCAATTATTTATTAAAAATTTTAATAATTTATCGAAGTATAGACTTTTATGAAAAAAGCGCCGAGGCGAAAATTTGTAATAAAAATTCGCGCCATTTTTCATTACAAATTTTCATTATTTATGGAAGCATGGATTTTTATTTAATTGCGGTAAGTAGGTAAGCATTTCTTATGAATATAATGGGCTGTTTTTGCTTACGCATAAAATCACATTTAAGCGCATTTAGCTCTAAATGCACATTTATCCATACGAAAGCCGTCACCTAAATGCAACTCCCGTTCGGCATTAAAAATACCCAACCGACGTTAGCACCCCATTAGTATAAATATTAAGATTTTTGTATTGCAATCGATAGTTCGTCAATTGTTCTTTAATGTTCGTCCATTTTTAACGTTTGTTCGTTAGCCAAAGATTTATAATTAATTTTTAAATTTTTACTTTACGTAATTCCTGTATTTAGCGCCCGCAACAGATTATTTTGGGTTAATTATTATTGCGATCGAGAGTTCGTCGACTGTTCGTCATTGTTCGTCCATTTTTAACATTTGTTCCTAAGCAAAACATTTATAATTAATTTTCTACATTTTACAGTTCCTGCATTTAGAACCCCAGGTGTAAGAATTTCATCATTTTCATTTGTTAACTGTGATAAATCGTTTGTTCGTCTTTAGTTCGCCGTTTTTTCATCCCTAAAATCGAGCAAAGGCCGTAAAAAATAAATTTATTTTTGATAATGAAGGTTGTTAGTAAAGTTAATAACTTTTTTTTACGAAAAACATAAATTTAAAAAAAAAAAATTGCCAAATTACGTTTTTTTACTTTTTCTCGAAATATGTGTACATCATATACATATATATGTATATATATATCGAATGAAAGGTCATTTAAGCACTTTTCCAACTCTGTCGATATTTTGAAAATCGGTTCAATAGTTTTCAACACCCCTGATAATTTGCACCAAAAAAAGCCATTAAAATCAGAATAAGGGGCAGTCCACGTCCACTTTTTTAGCTCAACGGCCCCTATTCCAATTATTGTTTACCCGTTTAACGTAATAATTAACGTTAAGTAAACCTGATGAATTTGTTCGAAAGTGCTAAATGTTGCTTTTTAAATGCATTTGCAAACAATTAAGAGCCACTGTAATCAGCTGTTTCGAACATAGAAATCAGCTGGGGTTATCACACTCGCAATTCTGCGTGTTTCTATTTTTTTACCCTTAATAATGAAATAAAGTATTTCAAATGGTTAGTTAAAATAAAAAAATACGTTTATAGAGAACTTCTTTCCAATGCCGATTACGCCGCTCAGAATGTTTAAATTACTCACTCAAGCAGCTAGGACAAGTTTGCATTCTTTTCGGTTATTACACAGTGACTTCCAGCGTAACACCAAATCAATCGCTAATGTGCATGATACCCGAAGGAAATTGTTTAGTAGCGCCCCTGTGGCCGCACCTGTAGGTGACAATACTCGTCATTGCAATGTGGGCACAATTGGCCATGTCGATCACGGTAAGACCACACTAACCTCTGCTATAACAAAGATACTCGCAGAAAAGGGCTTAGCACAGTATCAATCCTACGAACAGATTGATCGTGCACCAGAGGAAAAGGCGCGCGGCATAACAATCAATGCTTGTCACATAGGATATGCAACTGCCGAGCGCACCTATGCGCACACCGATTGCCCGGGCCATGCAGATTACATAAAGGTTTGGTATTGTCACAATTTTTAATTAAAGCACGACACTTCAATAATTTGGTTGTACCCATACGTAGAATATGATATCTGGGGCTTCACAAATGGATGGCGCTATTTTGGTAGTTGCGGCCACCGATGGTCAAATGCCACAAACCCGTGAGCATCTTCTATTGGCCAAACAAGTTGGTATCGATAGAATTATTGTTTTCATAAACAAAGCAGATTTAGTAGATAAGGAAGTATTAGAGCTTGTAGAAATAGAAATGCGCGAAATGCTTACAGATTTTGGATTTGATGGTATTAATAGTCCAGTAATCTGTGGCTCTGCATTGCTGGCGTTGAAAGGCGATAAATCATCATTTGGCGTACCAGCAATTGAAACTTTACTGCAGCACATGGACTGTTATGTGCCCACTCCAACGCGTGACTACACATCGCCTTTTATACTGCCAATTGATAATGCCTTCACTGTAGCGGGCCGTGGCACAGTAGTGGTTGGCACCATTAAACGCGGAACTATGCTGAAAAATGATTTAGCCGATTTATTAGGTTTCAATCAGAACATTAAAACTAGTATAGGTGATATTCAAATATTCAAGAAGAGCGTGCCGAAGGTAAGATTTTAGCAGTTTTGAAAAAATAATAAAAACCACTAACTTTTATGCATTATCTCTAGGCTGTGGCAGGTGAAAATGTTGGGGTATTATTGCGTGCCGTCAAAATCTCAAGCGTAGAACGTGGCATGCTTTTGTGCGCCGCGGAAACTGAGAAAATTTCAAATCACTTCGAAGCATCCATGTATCTATTATCACGTGCCGAAGGTGGTCGTACCAAGCCAATGCTCTCGCGTTATATACAGCAATTGTTTAGCGCAACGTGGAATGTACCGGCACGTATTGATATTGGTAAGCAACGGAATATATTTGATTACTGAGTATATATTATTATTTATGAACTTTTTGTTGCTTTTACAGTACCTTCTGATGGTATGCTAATGCCGGGCGAACATGGCAAAGTGCGTATAACATTACTGCGCAAAATGGTTTTAATACCGGGACAAGCATTTACGATAAGAGAGAATGGCGCAACAGTTGCAACAGGCATGATAACCGCACGTAAATCTTCATTGGATATACCTAAGAATAAGCTATCTAAAATTGTAGTAACATGTTGAAGAATTGTAAATAAAATGCAAGTTTTTAAATCATACATATTTTTATGTAGTCCTTTATTTTAACTGAAATACATAAGTACATAGCTTCTTAGGTGCATGATTACAAATGTAACATTGTAAATCGTTGTAGCTGCATGGCGATGCCGGAATGTTTTAACTAAACATATCCCGTATACATTTATATTTGTTTGTTTTGTGGAATGTACTGATTTATATGCGTTATTCATACATAAATATTTATTTATGGTGGCAAAAAGTCTTAAATGGCAAACAAATTAGTAGGAAATTCCGAGCTTAATTTTTTAAGATCATATTGCAGTATGTATGTGTGTATGCATGTGTGAAAAATGTGCACAATATAACTTTACTTTACGACTGCTTTTGAATTCTCGATTTTCAATAATTTGATGCAATATTTAGCAGTCCTCAGCCCGTATTGTACGATGTTTATACAAAATAATCGGTAAGTTTTCTGCTGAGACCAAGTAATTTTTATGCTGGTTACTTCTTCAAGCTTATTTTTTTAAGTAAAATTTTACCACAATTAAATTGAATCGAAGCCTCGTACGTATATGTACTTACTTGTATGTGTAAGTATGTATGTATAAAATGCGCTAAATATTATATTCTAAATAAATGGAATATTTATTTTTTCTACTTAACAACTAGTAAACATATATATTTTATAACATGAAAGTTGTGTCTGATATTATTTTTAGCAAATAAAAAGTATCCGAATAATAAATTTCGCTTAAGGCGTTCAAGCGACAACAACTTTTAGTTAGTGTTATCCTTCGTTGGGACACCCTACTCGGAAAATTCAAATCAATTCATCCGAAACTGTAACACCGGCTGTCGTGAAAAAATGCCAATCAATGAAAATTACAATTTTATATTATTCTGCTTTCAATGCCGTTATAAAGAAGCGAATAAATGGCGCTTTTTATTAAGATATCGCCCTGAAATAATGGCATAGAATAAAAAAAGCATTCCCAAAGCAGATTTATGCTTTTTGCTCTGATGAGCACAAGTACTGTTTGCTAACACATTTTTAACGACTTTCTATTTGCTTTTTTTTAATTTTATGAACATACTTATATTTTTAAGTAATATTGTCTGTTTGTATTCTTTTTGAATTACATTCCTTTTCCAAAATCCTTGAACATTGATAAACATTTAAAAAAAAGGTATACTCGTACATAATACATAAGAAAAACGTTTGAAAAATTAATAGCGCAAAACAAAAAAATAATAATTATACGCATGTACATATGTATATTTTTTCTAAGCTTTTAAGGGCAGGCAGTTGAACTTTACATCTGTTACTACGATACAATAACCATATAAATATCTACTAAATATGTCTATAAATTTAATGTTTTGTTTCTATAAATATATGTTTAGGCATGTATAAATAATCATTTCTCTTTGTTATCACATGTACAATTTTTCACTAACACATACTCAGTTGTTGTTGTTGCTGCTGCCGCTTACCAACAATAAGGCAACTATGTTGCTGTGGTTTTACCATCATTATCAATTTTTAATCTATGCAAAGTGTTACCTCCGAACTTGCACTACATTACCATACGAATTAATATGTTTTAAGTTAAATAGGATGACAACCCAAATGAAACAAAAAGAAAAATTATAAATTGCAATAAGACATAGTAACAAATACAAGGAATATACATCGTATTCAGCGAGGGCTAAATTAACTAATACGAATAGCTACATATCTTAGTAGTTTACGTGGCGTCGCTTGGCAAAGGAAGCACAATTGTTTTTTACTAAATTTTGGTTTACTTTAAAAGATTTATCTGATATCCTTGACACATGTATGATCATATTTTTTAATGAAATATTTAGTTCATGAGCTTAATTAAAGTTAACTCAAATAACTAATATTTTTCAAGTGGTATAAATAACTTAGTTAATAAATTTAGTATAGATACATATATGCTATGCATTTTTTTATACTAACGCACACACACACACACACATATATATATATATATATATATATATATATATATTAATGTATGTTGTATATTAGCGCTACTGTATTTTAAGTATACAATACTCTGCTGTATGGGGGAATTTTTTTCATAAGTACGCATTCTTAATACATGAATATGTGATTTACGATGGCAACAAAATGCGCAAGGTACATTATCTTTTTTTCTAAAACAACAACATTTAATATTATACTTGTCATAAATATTTTCTTGAAACAGCGGTCTGTTCACTATATTAATTTGTTGTTTGTTGTCGGAGGGTGGCGTGATTGGGCTTGCTTGCATTTTTTTTTTAACATAGCGCATAAAAGTGTCTGGCTTGTTTAAATTTTTGTTAGCAAATCTTCAAGCCCTACGTGTTTCGGCAATTCGATGTCTTCTAATTTTAGATCACTATACTTGAAAACTACTTTAAAGGGATGTATAAATTTCTGATCCATAGTAAATTCGTCGTTTTTAATCTGTAATTTGTATAGAAAAAAATTCAAATTTAGATTTGTGTGAGTACAAAAGTAACCGAATATATTACCATTGGACGCTCGTTTAGCTTTTTGGTGAGTTTCTCCAAGAATGTATTTGTTATTTCACTTTCATAGTCGTCCAGCTTGTATGATTTCATCACCTTCAAATAATATTGGAATACAAATTATTCTTACAGACTACTCTAACACTAATTAAGTGCTACTAAAACTTAAAAACTAAGTCGAGCAAACCTAACACTAGACACTTCTTTACATATATGTAGATTCAAACAGCAGATTGTATTTCCCTTACTTCCTCTTAGCCTCAATTTTTTGCGTGAACTCAGTTCATCAGTAATTGATTCTGAGCTTAACCTGTGACAACCAAAATCTTACCTTAAGCACTTGCGCCGTATTCAAAGATGTGCACAAATCACAGATACTTTGCACATCTTGTTCACTCTTGCGTGATTGCAGCAACTGTGATACTTGATTGAGTGGTGCCAACGGCGCTAAGACATCAGTTGACTAAAATAAAATATTTATACGTAAAATATATAAAATTAAGCTTAAAACCACGCAGCGACTGCCGAAGAGACTTACCATTTTTTTGCTACGCACCCAATCCTCGATATAACCTAAATTATAACGTATTATCATACCCGTCTCCCACATACAAATATCACCACGCAACATCAAGCAATTCAGAGCCACCGCGCAAATGAAATATAATAATTGATGGAATATCTGCTCTGAGTAACAACGATCTAAGCCGAAATGTTGGAATTGCTTATAAAATTGTTCCAGGTGATTGATGAGCAGCCTCCAAGCAGCTACTTTGCCATGCTCGGGTGATGACGTCGAATCCATGGAGGCAGTACGAGCCCGCATACCCGGCACCTGCCTGCTACGCTGGATCTCGTCATTATCGAGTATGGCAGGCACTATATATTGCTCGAGCAATGTCTGTATCTGCTTCACCAACACCTGATAGAGACTGATGATTATGTCGAGTACAACGCGGCGATACTCATACAAATTAAAATTCTTTAATTGTTGTTGATTTTGTTTTTCCGTATTGAATTTCACGTATTCTTCAACATCACCATATTGTTTCAGCAAATTCAGCAGCCTAGATAATGAGAAAGAAAGTGGATGGATATTAAATAATCTGCAATATTAATTTTTAGTTTCAACATACGTGATTGAATTAACCAGCCAAAGCAAACGCATTTCGATCACATTAGGATTGCGATGAATTTTTTTGATTTGCATTACAAATTTGCTCAGCAGCTCACGAACATCGTCATCCGCATTTATAAGATCTGTATAACTTTTAGGGGAATGAAGTTAAATGTAATTATAAAATGTTCAATATTATATTAACATTACAAACTATACTATGCTCTTACCGAATGCACATGAATATTATATAAGCAGGAAAGCCCGGAAAGAGGCCAACAGCCAAACGTGGTGTCATACCGCCAACCAGACGTTGCAGTATCTTATCAACATCCTCAATGCGGAACTTCATAACACCTTTAAAAATACAAATACAAATACAATGTAGTTTAAATTTATTACAAATGTTTGGTTTACGCTTACCCTGGTAGTTTTGAATCTTTTGCTTGCTCACACTCGCCACAGTATTCTTTTCGCTCTCTTTGCCATTTGCATCTTGCGAAATTCCATGTTCTTGTAGCTTGAATATCAATTTCTCATTACCCTGTTTTAGCGCCTCAAATTTCCTTGTCATAATATTCATTTCCTCCTGAGTAATGAAGGGAATAAGGTTAAAATAAACGCTACACTAAACTTAAACACAGTTTTTGCTCACCTGTAGCTGTGAGTATTGTGCAAAAGAACGCTGCAGCTCATAACGTAGATAGCGTTCATTCTGGCGTAGAGATTCAATATTACTCTCATCAAGTTCTTCGAGTTCATTGTGCAGCAGATCCTGTAATTGTGTCTTTTCGTGGCGAAGCTCATCAATTTGTCGTGTAAGATCAGCAAGATGTGCGTTATTCTCTTCGGTTAGAGCGCTCAACTCAGATTCCAGTTGGCTGGATATAAATAATGATAGGCAAACAATTATTTTTTAATTGATAGTTTTCCAATGCTTAAAGTGGAAACTTATTCAAGGATAGGGGATTGATTAGGAAAAAAAAGACTTACAAAGGATTTAAATATGTGTAAAAACGGCGTCAGGGAATGTAAACTTTACACTAGGGGTATTCAACTAATCGCATAAATGCTCGAAACCACGTAAACCTCGTAAACTAACTTAATTTTGTATGGAAAACTGGTTTACTTTCGAGGTCGCATTTACGAGGCATTTAAGCGTTTGGATAAATACCCATAATATTTTTATAAATTTTTGCTTACCGATTAACCAGCTTTTGTGCCTGGAATGCCTCAATCAATTCATTGTCATTAAGGTTCTTTAAATCTACACCACGTAGTGAAATTCCAGTTGTTCCAAATGACTTCAGTGACTGGCTTTGCTGTTGTAGCACTGCCTTCAGTTGAATGCACTCATCGCGTCTGCGCCGTAGCTCCTCTTGCAGTGCTTGGTATTGAGCTATAGAATGACAATTTAAAGATTTAAATTTAATATCCTCATTCGTCTTATAAAGTTAGAACGAAGAACATAGTTATCAACAGAAAAAAAAATGATTTCAATCTTACCTTCTAATTCATTCATCTCGGAACCATGGTGAACGCTGCTGCGCAACAAATCATAGTCACTGCGTAATTTTTCATTCTCAACTTCTAGTTCTGAAACTCTGTGCATTCAAGAAAGAAAAAATGTTAGTGAATTGGTTTCAGGAGCATTACTCATAAATTTCTACCGTATAGAATCTTCTGTTTGCCTATTTCGCTTCATTAGACGATCCAATTGTTCGTTTAGCAACTTGTTTTTCTTTTTCTCCTCTTCAAGTATGCTGCGCAATTTCAAAATAAGACTTGTTTGACCAGATTTCGGTGTTGATGTGGTTTCTGCAATTAAATTAAAATTTAAAGTGCCTTTCTTGAATGAAAATCTTTCAATATGTACCGATTGTTGGTCCAAAGGTTTCTATTGATATCTGATTCGCGTGCTCTCCACCTTGACTGCGTTTCAACTCGAGCGTGTTCTTTGCGGATACGTAGCCCACGTCATCCTCATTCTGACTCGAAGCATTACTAACCGAACGTGAATGTTGATTATTTTCACGCATGTTATTTGGTTTTTGATGTCGACTCAACTCCTCCTTAAGAATATAGTTTTCATTTTCTATGATCTCTTTCTCCTTTATAGCTCGCTGGTAAGCCTCATTAATTTCGTTAGTTTCAACTTCAGAGAACGAACGCTCGTTGCGTAAGTTGGCGCTTCTTTCGACATTCTTGGCCATTTCGATCATTTGATCGATCTGTTTTCGCAGTTCGATATTTTCTATACGCCAAGCCTGCTTTTGTTGCACCCAATCCTGTTCCGAATGATCTTTCTCTTCAAGTAATTGCATTTTTTCATCGCGCTCCAACTCTAGTTGCTTGTTAAGCGCTACTAAATTGTGATCCTTCCCAGCAACAATCGATTTAAGGTTCCGTACTTCAATTTCCAACGATTTTTTCACCTCCAGTTTCATTCTGTTAACAAATTTGGATTTAAAAAATATTTTTTTTTTTACACCAATCGAATGCATCTCAAAGTACTTACTTAAGCACGGAAATTTCACTAGACTTTGATTTAAGACTGACGTTTTCGCGGTTCAGCTCATCAATTTTCTGCTGCATAGATATGATTTTGTTCTCGAGACCTTTGTACATTTTTTGTATGTGTGAAATGGTTTTCGCTTCAGCCTTCAGGCGCTTAAATTGTCGACGGGCCAGGAAACGTCGCACAGCTGACTGACAAACAATGATGGCATATCGCTTCTTCTGATAAGCGCGTCTCGCCAAATAGCCACGCACAAATCTTTGAATTTGCACAGCACGATAATAGTCCATAGCCGCCTGGAAACGTCGGCGCGCCAACATGCCACGCGCATACTGTTGTATGCCACATATTGTATGGCGCAGTCTCAAATAACGCCGGCGACACAGCCAACCGCGGGCATACTTCGATATAATAACTGCTGCATGTTCTTCGCGCATCTGTTGCGCTTTCTGGCGGGCCAAGTAGCCGCGCGCGTAACGTTGTATGCCCAGCGCCGTGCGCTGCAATCGCTGAAAGCGACGCCGATGTATGAATCGACGCACCACCGATTGTATAATCGTTATGTACTTTTTGCGTAAGTTCGCACGCACCTGCTCCAAGAAGGCGACTTGGCCAGCGCGAAAGAATATCTGCGTATTGCCGAAGCGATACTTATCGGAATCGAGAATCCATTTTGTTACGATATTGTGACATGATTGCTTCAAGTCATTCTTGTTGATCAAAGAACGATGGCATAACAGCTGATAACGCATATAGAAGTCATGGTATGACCAGCGAGAAGGGAAGCCGGCAGCAGAGATGCGCACCGTTTCGAGTACACCACAAGCACGTAATTGTTGGACAATTTTCGCCGCCTCCCACTTGAAAGCCACTTTGTCATCGTTGGGCTGGAGTTTGAAAAAGAGGAGAAGAATACATATTTATGTATATATATATAGCTCATTTACTTCAATAGTGTCACAACTGGAAAAATACAAATATTGAGCTTCCCATTTAGACCTATGAGGTATCATTGGAAAGGTATTTTTACACACCTCTTATTTTTATTGAACTCATTCAGAGTATGAAGGAGAAAGGTACGGCGAAAGAGCGTCATTCCAAACAGAAGTAAGGATGGTTCCGTGTGCAGAAGTGGAAAACTGTTGACTGCCATTCACCTGGGAGTGGCTAGAATCGATTCTTGTGCGTACGGTTAAAATCGCAGCTCACAAGGTCCGGATATTTATATCCACGTATCCTCTGGGTAGCAACCAAACACCCGTTTGGGAGCGTGCTAAAGTGAGAAGGCGTAAAACTTCGCGTGCGCTGGGTTTGGGTTCCGCCACGGCAAACGTATAAAGGACTATGATTTGAGGGTATGCACCTGGAATATCAGGACCCTTAATGGGGAAGTTGCCTCTGCCCGGCTGGTTGACGCTTTTAGCTTCTGCGCTACCCTCCTTCTAGCTTAGGGCTGCTGGCGGACAGTGACCAAGAACCGCCACATCCTAATCCAGGGTGTAACGCGACACCGTGCCCATTGGACGGTTTGCAGCCAGGAGGGAAAACCGGCTGTATTTTAACGGCGCCTTCTCGACACCGGGCCGCCTCGAGGAGTAACCGTGAACTTACTGCGGCAAGGGGCGCTGTCGCGGCGGACGATCGAGATTCCCAGCAACCACTTAGACTGCTACGCCTGGCTGGTCAGGCATGCGGTCGTATAAACAAGATGAAGACAACTGAAGATCAAAACAACAACCAAATCAAAAACTAAAACAAGGAACCAACAAGCAACAACAAGCTACAACAAAAGCTAGGAACGCTAATATACAAAGGCACTAGATAAGGCACAAGTAAAAGGCCCCAAGCAAGAGGATCGGAGGAAGAGCTTCCTAGAGGGCCTCTCCGACGCTGAAGCGGCACTCTTCATAGAGCACGCGCGGGAGGACGATGAACCCTCTACGAGTAGCGGTATCTTCCACGAGAGAGCTCTGAGAGAGAATAGTGGGCATGAGACCACGAGCGGCAGTGGGAGAAGGAGGTACCATAGCGAGTCCTCGCGCGGGCAAACCAGGTCCTCCAGTCAGTCCGGATCGACGACCTCGCGCGACTCTTTGAAGAAGGAGAGGGAACGCCACTCGGATAGAAGGGCGAATCCGCCAACTCTTCCTCATGCAGGCAAACCCGGTTCGCTGACCGACTCAAGGAGGTTGGGTCTCAGCGGCTCCGGGGCGAGGCACTATGTCAGGTATCTCGAACAAGGCAAAACTCCCGAGGTAGCTAGGGAGCTGGCTCTCGCTAGATCGGCTCCACAAGTATCGAGTACGCGGGACCCTGAGCACAATAGCAGAACGACCGCACCCGCCGTTGGGCGGAAGAGCGGGCATACCGGCGAGAGTCATAAGCCCGGACAGCACTATGCTACGGGTGGCAGGCACGATAAGCATACTGGCGAGACCGCACCCGCTAACAAGCGGAAGAGCGGGCATAGTCGCTATGAGAGGCACAAGTACCAGGACAATGAAAAGGGCTCCGGTGAGACCGCACCCGCAAAGCGGAAGAGCGGGCATTTAACACCGAACACTCCGGCCTCAAAGAAGCAGCGGTAGAATCTACCGCCTGCGACATCATTTAAAGAGGCTTAAGACTGACGAAGGGATGGTGTGATAAGTTAGGGCTTATCATAAATCCTGCCAAAACCGCCATCATTCCTTTCACTAGAAAAAGAGCCCTTCCGGGCATGAGGAACATAACCTTGGAGGGGGTCGTGGTTAGCGTCGCCAGCGAAGTGAATTATCTGGGACTAGTCCTAGACATCAAACTTCTATGGAAGAAACATGTGGACGCGATCATCTCCAGGGCAATGAAAGCTTTAATGGTGTGTAAGCGTCTGGCGGGAAAATCCTGGGGTTGTACGCCCAGAATCCTAAGATGGCTTTACGTCATGATAGTACAGCCAATAATCACCTATGGGGCGGTAGTCTTTGAGAAGAGATTCAAAATAGAGCTTTGCAGTAAAGCGACCTGAAGTGTCTCCGCTTTCGAGACATTACTTCAGGGCTGCACTCTGCACTGGTACACGGATGGCTCGAAGACCCCAGAAGGAATAGGAGCTGGAATTGTTGGACCCGGGGCCAGGATTTCTGTTCCTTTGGGGAAATATCCGAGCATCTTTCAAGCAGAAGTTTACGCTATCTACCTATGTGCGGATACAAACGATAGAATCCTAATCCTTAGCGACAGTCAGGCAGCACTGAAGGCCCTCATATTTTATGAGGTCAAATCGTTGCTGGTCCTGGAGTGCATTGAGAAGCTTAACTCCCTAGGTAGACACAATAACATCAAGTTAGCGTGGGTACCTGGTCACAAGGGAGTCGGTTTTGCGACTCTATCAGTGAGACACCTCTAAACATCCTCACCGAATGTAAAGCAGTCTGCAGAAGACGTGAGAGAAGATTAGGCTCAATGTGGCATAAGTTTTAGATGTTAAGTTCAAATTTTATATAATTTAATATCGTTATGTTTTATTGTAATATTCTCAGTATCTAACACTGAAATATAACTTGTGGTTGTTGTGTTAGAGTACTTAAATAAATAAACGTGGCCACAGCTTAGACACATTCACTCCCTATCCCCTAAGGTACTGTTAAATTTTCTCAGAGAATTAGGTTTGGAGGAGGTATTGTGAAGAGTGGAGGGCACAATAGACCACTATGTCGCGGTGCAAACCTCATTTTATTATCTATCTATCTATCTAAAGGAGCGCAAATTTGGTGTTGGATTCGTGGTAGGAGAGAGACTCCGTCGCCGAGTACTGGCGATCATCGCGATGGACGAACGTCTAGCCACAATCCGCATCAATGCGAGATTCTTCAACATCTCACTCATCTGCGCCCATGCCACGACGGAAGAGAAGGATGAGGTATCCAAGGATCTCTTTTATGAGCGCTTAGAGCGTCCATATGAGCGCTGCCCGCGACACGATGTTAAAATCGTGCTCGGCGATTTTAATGCCAAGGTGGGCAAGAAAGGAACGGGGACTGAGGCTGATCGACTTCGCCGGGGCCCGAAACATGGTAATATGCAGTACTAGGCTGCAGCGTAAAGACATCCACCAAGGTTGTCTCCAGATCGAAAAACGAGAAACCAAATCGACCACGTTGTGATAGACGGAAAGCATGCTTCCAGCATTTTAGACGTACGTACACTCCGAGGGCCAAACATCGACTCGGAGCACTGTCTTGTTGTAGCCAAGATACGCACCCGCCTCTGTGCAGCAAAAAAATGTGCGCCCAACAATGCAAGGAAAGCTTAACGTCGAAAAGCTGCAGTCACAACAGAAGGCTAATTTATTCGCCACTCGACTTACACACCTGTTCTCTGAGAGCACTCTTCAACAATCCGACATAAGCGAGCAGTGGAACCACATTTCCCGATCATTAAGTACTGCCGCCGAAGAAGCAGTTGGATTTCAGCGAGCCCGAAAGAACAAATGGTACGATGAGGAATGTCAAGAAGCCGCAGAGAAAAAAGACGCCGCCTATAGGGCCACGCTGCCATCGGGCGCAACACGAGCCATGTGAGACCGTTATAGGGAACTGAAGAAGGAAGCGAGACATATTTGCCGCATACGAATAGAGAGGCCGAAATACGTGAGTGCGAAGAGCTTGATATGCTGGCCGACAGAAAAAACGCACAAAATTTTTACCAGAGGGATAGGCGATTTACGGAAGGAGTCAAGACCAGGGCGAACTCCTGTAAGAACAGCAATGGCATAGTGACCGATGTCCAGAAAGTACTTAAATTATGGAGGAACACTTTTCCACCTTACTGAATGGTAGCGGCGCTGAAATTAGTGGAGAAGACGAACCCGAGCCCCCAGTCGTTGACGATGGAGTCGATGTTCCACCACCTGACTATGACGAGGTACGAATAGCGATAGCGCGCTTGAAAAACAACAAAGCTGCTGGAGCTGACAGCCTGCCAGCTGAGCTATTAACGTTAATTGGCGAGGAGTTGATAAGGTGCATGCTCAACTCTTATGCAGAATATGGTCAGATGAACGCATGCCCGACGACTGAAATTTAAGTGTGCTCTGTCCAATCCACAAGAAAGGCGATCGCGCCATTCGCGCCAACTACCGCGTAATCAGCCTTCTAAGCATAGGTTATAAGGTCTTATCGAGTTATTGTGCGAAAGACTGAAGCCTACCGTCAACGAACTGATTGGACCTTATCAGTGTGGCTTTAGGCCAGGCAAATCCACCATAGATCAGGTATTCAAAATACGCCAAATCTTGGAAAAGACACGCGAGAATAGGATCGACACACACCATCTATTTGTCGCTTTCAAAGCCGCTGTGTAAAATGACGTTGAGCAATATCACCAGCTCCGTCGGAATAGCGAAGGACCTCTCCGAGCCGTTTGATACCAAACGAGGTTTCAGACAAGGTGACTCCCTCTCGTGTGATTTTTCTTTAATCTGATGTTGGAGAGGATAATAAGAGCCGCATAACTGAACCGCTCAGGCACAATACTTTACAAGAGCGTATAATTGCTGGCGTATGCCGACGACATCGATATTATCGGTAAAAACAAAGGCTACGTGTGTTCTCCCTTCTCGGTATTGGTTAGAAAAGCAAAGCGAATGGGTCTGGTGGTGAACGAGGACAAAACGAAGTATCTCCTCTCATCACACAAACAGTCAGAGCATACGCGTCCTGGCACCCACGTCACTGTTGACAGTTACAAGTTTGAAAAAGACGACGACTTCGTTTATTTGGGAACCAGCATTAACACCAATAATAATGTCAGCCTTGAAATCCAACGGAGAATCACTCTTGCCAACAAGTGCTACTTTGGACTGAGCAGGCAATTGAAAAGTAAAGTCCTCTCTCGTCGTCTATAAGTCACTCATCATGCCTGTGCTGGTGTATGGCGCGGAGGCATGGACAATGAAAACATCTGAAGAAGCGGCTCTTGGAGTTTTCGAGAGAAAGATTCTGTGAAAGATTTACGGACCCTTACGCGTTGGCGATCGCGAATACCGCGGACGATTTAACGATGAGCTGTATGAGCTTTGGCGTCAGTTGGCACAGAGGAGAAACGACTGGCGTGCTTTGCTGAACTCGGCCAAAATCGCTTAGGCGGTTACAGCGCCAAAAAAGAAGAAGAAGAAGTATGAGCTTTATAAGGATATAGACATAGTGCAGCGAATTAAAATTCGGCGGCTCGGCTGGCTTGGCCAAGTCGTTCGACTGGACAGAAACGCTCCTGCTCTGAAAGTATTCAATGCGGGCCGCCAAGCTGGTAACAGAGGAAGGCCTCCTCTGCGTTGGAAAGACCAGGTGGAGAAGGACTTGGCTTCACTTGGCATTTCCAATTGGCGTCAGTTAGCACAGAAGAGAAATGAGTGGCGTCGCTTAGGCGGTAACAGCGCCAATAAAGAAGATAATCTTGCGAAAAATTTTAAAGAACCAAAATCTCATTACTACGATTCCGTTGAAAAATTGTTTAAGAATTTTTATGCAGATTTTTAAGCTTAAACTGTTTTGTCTGAGGGTATTTTTTCGAAAAGTTCTTTAACAGGTCTATTCTGTGCTGGTAATAAAGTTTGTAACTGGTAAATAAAGTTCATGTAAATTTTGAAATCTTTTTCGCATTCTGTGTACTCTTGTAACCGGTAAATTTTGTTACCCTCTCATAAGCTAGTAACAAAGTATTGCCCCGTGAAATATGCAATGCCAGAATTTGCACAATTCTTCATAGCTGACAGCCGCACTCAGAAACGTTCCTTAAATTAGCTCTAACGGGCACATAACTAATGATATTTAAAACCGTTAATTAATGTTTCCTCTCAGAGTTAAAAATTATGAAATGAATAATTTAAGTATGGCCCTAGTTGCGGCCCTTAATTTTTGTGGTATCACTCACTTTTTTCGTTCAGTTTGAAATAAAATATACAAATAAGTATTTATATCATTTTGTGCGCATTGTCTCAACAGACGCAATGGCTGAGTGAGCAGAGCACTGGCGTGCCATTCGAGAGATCCGAGTTCGAGTCCTAGGGCAGACAAATTTTCTTCTTCCTTTTTTTATTTATTTTTCTTCTTGTTCAAATTTTATAAACTGTTTTTATTGAATTTTTTGCATTTTTGATTTAATTTTCTTTTGATTTATATATTTTATTGCTTTAAAAAGGAAATGTTTTTTTAAATTTAATTAAATTTTTAGACACTGTTTGCTAAAAGACGAACAAAACTAATAACAGGCCAATTCTGGCATCTGTCTTTCAACTCACCGCAGTCTTTCGAGAGACAAAAGTCTTTATATTATGGCAACTGTATTCAAAGCTCTTTTCTGTATTTCGAATGACTAATTGAAAGATGTGCTAATAGCGTTATTATCTTTATCGTTTAACAATAAGTTTTCTAAAAACTCAACGAAATGAAAAAAAATTTAAAAAAGGGAAAACAAAATATTTGAGAAACTGAAAGTGAAAGAAAAAATATGAATTAAAAAAGTTTCTAAACGTTAAAGAAAATAAAAAATTTTAATTTTGTAAGCAATAAAACTTAAAAAAAATTAAAAAAAAAATTCGTTGCCGAGGATTGAACTCGGATCTCTTGAATGGCACGAAAGTGCTCTGCTCACTGGGCCATCGCCACTGTTACAGCAAGGTTATCGAAATTGAAATTTATTGAAAACAAACAAAAAATTTCAAAATCATTCGTTAAAAAGTTAAGTAAAGGTTTTTGTTTACTTAACTTTAATATTCATTAAATACCGTTAACGAAACATTAACTGACTCTGAGAGGGAATTTTTTCAAATAGTTACTGAGGGACACCTTAAGTAATCATTAAACGATTCTGAGTGCGGCTGTGAATGGCTGAATATTTTAACTGCAAGAACAGGTAACATTTTTCGGTAATAAAATTGTCCAGTCACAAAATCTTCGGTAACGTGCAGAAAGATCTGTAAGAAGGTATTTTCAAATCGGTACAGCTCATAAATTACTTTGTTTTGATCAGATTACTGCACATAAATCAAGTATGTTCACATTTTCTTTCATAATTTCTATAGATATGTACTTGATTAAAAACAATAAATTGTTGTATACCTTTAGGCATTTTTTTAAATGCTCACATTATCGTAATTTATGGCTCATTTCGCTTTGTAGAAACTGTTTGTAGGTATGAAATTTGTGAGCAAAACCAAAAAAATCATTGTACTTCTTTATTTTTGAAATTCACGCCTTTAAACCGATGTAAAAAGGAAATGGGAACCATTCACGCCTTTAAATCGATGTAAAAAGGAAATGGGAACCAACTTTTACAAATGCTTTGGAATTCATTAATTTTTTGACCTCTTTTAATGAATTCAATCGGTCTTATCCCCATCACTTTTTGAGTGTTGCACAGTGTAATTATCCGATAGAGAAACCTGGTAATTAGTCAATATACGCCCAAAAGTTAAATGCATTAATGGGCCTCCGCACACTGGACTGCTCAGTCCACCTAAAACCGGTTTTAAGTGGATAAGAGGGGGAAGAGAGTTCGAGTTTACCTCGCTCATTTCAGTCCGCGAAAATGGCGGATTGACGGTGGACTCACACGCACACATAGACAACATGTTTTCTATTTCGTTTTGTTTGCATGCGCCACATGCACTAACAAAATCATCGTAGTTCATGTATACAAAACTGAAACCTGTTTTCGGCTGACTGCCGTCGAGTGGTGGACTGCTCAGTTCGACTGAGTAGGCTAGTGTTCTTTTTAGGTAGATAAAATATTTATAAAAAAACGTCGTTAGATTTCGCGGAACGTTCGAATGCGTAGACATAAAGGTGAAAAAATGCCAAGTCCATTTTTTCAAAATTTATTTTTTGATGCAGAATGGCCGGTAATACGAAACTATATCGATTTTTGTGTCTCTTGAACAATTTCAGAAAATGGAGCATCCCATGCTCGCGATCCCGTCCATTCTGACAGCCATGGTCACACTTATAATTAATATAATTTAATATAATATAATTAATACAATTACCTTGTTTAAATGTATATATATTTGTACAGGATAAAAGTTAGGATAGTCCTCTCAAAAAAATGTGTAAAGAACAGAATATGTAGTGAAATAAGAAAATTGTTTTCATGTATGATTGTGGATCCTGTGATGTAATGTATGCATATACCAATATAAAAACTATAAACCCGAAATTGTACCAAATAAAATAGTAAGCAAATATTGTAAATTTTCAGACTTGTTATAGGCCTTTAAAGGCCGTCAATAAATGAATAAATAAAATAACTCAAAACTGATAAATTTGCACATTCATGCTTCTGGCATGAGGGTGACGAAATGTATGTACAGTTAGTCAATAAAGTTTAGGTACAGCGAATTGTTTACAATACCGGCAACTGTATTTTAAATATTTTATTTTTCGCAAATTTTTTTCTAATCAAAATATGGTTAATTCTACAACAAAAACCCCAAAAATTAGAGTTCCAAACCTTGTGCATAATTAAAGAAAATTCAGCGAAATTTCATTCAAATGTTGCACTTTTCATTTACACTCTTTAGAAAAAAGTTGAGTAGGCAGTTTTTTAGCCCTTTTAATTTTAGTATAACAAAGTGCAAGTTTGAGGTTTGAGGATTTACCATTGATTTTTAGCAATTTTTTTTGTTGAAGGTGTCGCTCATTTTCTCCATATAAAATAATGTTCAATGTAAATTAACCATATTTTTATAAAATATTAGCGAAAAATAAAATATTTAAAAAATAGTTGCGATATTGTAAAAAATTGGCTGTACCTAAACTTTATTGTCTGACTGCATGTATAAAAAATAAGTTCAAATCGAGATCACTCACCTTTATGCAACGTACGTAATGCGGTGTTGTGGCATGCAAAGTAGATATTAACGAGGAAAGACTCTCTCTGAATTGCGAACCCACTGAACGTCGGTGTTGTTTTGATGGAGCAATCTAGAAAACAGCGATACAAATTTGGTGAAAAACAATTACGAATGGTAAGGTTATTAAGATTAACTGAAGACTGAAACCAAGCGTGCTTATAGTTTTTATTTTCTGGAAATTCGTTAGTGTAGAATTGATTATAAAAAAACACACGAAGGGTTAGTCACTGATTACTAGCCGAATTAGTTATGTTTAGTAAATCATAGAATATATTATATATCTATGTATGTTAATTGGTGGTTAAAATTAGTTTTAAAACAAAACTTTGGTTAGAAAATAACAACATATAAATGTCATTTAAACGCACTAACTCGTTTGCGGTTGTCGGCGGTTAACTATTTGTGTATATCCATGTAAATTACGACATCATTTTGCCATCGAGAAATAAAATACGACGTTGACGAAAAAGAAGAAAAAAATACAGGAATATATACAGACACATTTTACAAAATCAGGGCATTATTCCAATAGAAATGTTGTAAATACTTGAAGTGCTAAGTCTAGAAGAAATACTTTATATACTCATTAGAAAATTTCTTTATAAGCATCCGTTCATCTTTATCGCACTGACCTGCTGTCTAGATGCACTGATCACCACCCGTCCGCCTAGGGTTGTTACCTTCGCTGCATCTGCACACAGCGTATCTACTTCTTCCATTTCCATTAGTTGTTTGCACAAAGACATCTCTGATTGACGTATGACATTTACAAGCTCTTTTGAAACAGTGTCACGATTCTTTTCAAGAAATCCATAAACATCGTACTCAACGGTATCGGAGAAATGTTTGATGTAAAAACCTAAGAAATTAATTTAATTAAAAAACTTGAGATGCATATGCGTAAGTAACTCGCTGGGTAAAATTAGTACGCACTTGTAGTGCCAAAACGGGGCTTTTCGAAGTGTGGATATTTATTGCATTTTTCAATCAATTTCCCAGCCCAACTCTCGTCGCTTCCTTTCGGCATCTGTTAAAAAATTATATAAATATAAAAAATTGTGATACTTTATTTGCTAATCTTTTTTTTCACAAACTCACTCTACATTCTTCGTCCAAGAGATCTAGTACACCCAACTTAGATTCAATTAAATCTATGCATGGCTGATTATCGTAAAAATCGATCATTGTCCACGTTATACCTTCTTTTAAGTACTCTTCTTGTTCCAATTTAAATACATGTTGGTTGAACTGTTGTTGTAGTTTCTCATTGGCATAGTTAATGCAAAATTGTTCAAATGAATTGACTTCAAAAGTCTCGAACCCATAGATATCCAATACACCAATGAAACTGTTTTGCTTACGGCTTCCTGTATTTAGGCTCTTGTTTATCACTTGAACAATATACTGAAAGAGCTTGGCGTAGATATGTTTTGCGAGTGCATCTTTTGCCGCTTGTGCGGTTGCGACACTATTCGGTATAAGTACATGCTCGTTAACTGATTCAATTTGGCGAGTCTTCAACCATTTCCGCAAATCATCTGAGTTAATCTTTAACATCTCACCAGTCACATGCAGATGCAGATCATTATGCTGATAAATATAAGTAATTTTGTGTTTTTCTTTTTAATTAGTATTAATTAATAAATACATATCTGAACTACATACAAAAATTTCACAACCATCAGGATCTACGTCTTCACTTCCTTTTTTGGATTGTGGAATGAACTTTATATTACCTAAATGTAATATGCCAGCAAGAATATTTAATATATCTGTAATCTGCAATATAAATGGCGATGCAATTATACATTAAAAAAAGATAACGTTTTAGACAGGATATTTACCTGCAAAGTGCTAAAACCCAGCACAGTCATGGCCTGTATAGTCTCCTTGAATTGATCTTTGTCTGATACTTTATCGATATCGGGCGATAGGCCCATTTTTAGGTATTCGAATTTATCCTGATGATCTACATAGAAAAAAATTATTTAATAAAGTAGACTAGTTAAACGCAACTATAATTATTTTTCATCTCACCTAGTATTAACTCAGGATGCATCTCTCGTGCATCACAAAGTTGATAGAAAATATGATAGTTTCGTTCGCCGGGTGCTTGAAATACAACACGTGATTTTTCCAGCAAGTATGTGTGCATTGTTGCCCCAGTAAGATTCATAACACTCATATTATTCTTAAAAAGCAATTTGGTAAATTTACCAAAACGTGAACTATTGTCATTACGAGTAGTTTTAGCATTTCCAAAAGCCTCCATTATTGGTGAGGAAGCAAGCACTTTACGTTCAACTTGTGTTTCAGATTCCGATCCTCCTACAGCAGCAAAATAACGCATCGCATACTTTGCAGATACAGTTTTACCAGCACCTGATTCACCACTCACAATTATGCTAAGATCACATTTTTCACGCTCAAGTTTTGTGTATGCTTCTTCAGCCAAAGCGAATATATGTGGTTCTAATTCCCCCATTGAGCGGCCTCGATATGCACGTATTATGCTTGGACCATAAAGCGGTAGTTCGGCATATGGATTTATGGCCACAAGTATGATGCCACAGTACGTGTAGATAGTTTGACGTTCACAGAAACGGACTTTCAAATTATGTAATACGGCGGGCTCATGAAGATACGACATAGCCGTTAAATCATTTTGACCGATCAGAATGGCGGGATTTCTCAGAGGTGGTAGATTACTTCCATCGGGTTTTATAGATAGTTCGATTGTAGTGCCAGAATCTTTGACGATTTGTATGGTAGTGGCCCCTTTGTGATAATCCCGTGAAACTGTTGCACTCTCCCATACCAGCTCTGGGTGAGGTACCCATATTTTAGACCCCTTAGAGAAGAAATATAATACATTATAATAATTTGTGTTTAATGATTTTTCTAATTGAAATAAATACAGGTAAAATTAGAGGGCTGGGGCATGAACATGCATTTGAGTAATTGGATATAATTTTTAAAATATAGTAAATACCCCTCGCCGTTATTAAATTTCTTTAAATTGCTGTATGATGTCAAGTGGTATAAATCGTTGTTGTTGTTAAAGATGTTATCAATGACAATAACAACTTCACATTGATAACCAATGATTCATTCACGGCAGCTAGCCAAAGCTATTACATTCTAATATATATATGAATTTATTTTAATGCATCATCAATATCTTTTGCATTTAAGTCCGTTAAAAATTCGTCAAACTCAATTCTATTAGAAAAATGTCCAATTAGAATGCGCCCGCATTTAACTTGAACTACCAATTTCAAATAAGAAAGCTTTTAGTTAAACAAGATTTGTATGGAATAGTTTCATTTAGTTAATTGAAGTTTTGGAACCAACGCTTATTTTTTTACATGCAACCAACCACTCGTCAGCCCACTAACTTGTCAACAAATTGCACTTGCACTTGTAGGGCTGCAGCAGCCAACGAGCTAATCACTCAAGCAGACGACCCAAAAGCTGTGAATATGTGTTAAATACCTTTGCATATAGCATATCTTCGCTCGACATGATTTTGTAGTAATCTCACAGCAACTTCACTTCAGCTAATTCCGCTGTTTACGGTTATAAGGCCCTTGATCCAAACTGCTAAAAGCAAACAAAAATGTTAGCTACGGCGGTAAAAACCGATTATCAATCAAATCGTTGGTGTCGTCGTCTTCAATTTCCCTTATGTCAGTAACTCCAATCCGTGTTTATTTTGTTAGTTAATTCTTTGCTACGCTTGTTGTATGTTATTGAAATTCAAGGTGTGATACTGACTTTTCTCAAATACATCTTTTAAAGGTTTTTCTAATTTTTATTATTAATTTTTTTAATTAAAATAATAATACAGAGAATTTCGCTCCTGCAAGCAAAGAAAATTGTAAAACAAACAAACTAGATTTTTTCACTTTGACGTCCAGTCAACCCAATGTTGACGTTGACAACAGTGTTGCCGCGAGCACATTTTTAAAGCTGATATTAGTCGATAACGCAGAACGTATACTTAGGGCCGGTTGCTCAAAGCCTGGTTTACACAACACCATTCTTAGGTTTATTTTCTTTTTCGATAGTCATCTTATTGCCGTTTTACAATCAAGACGTTGCCATTTTTAGTTTTACTCTTTTTTCGATGCTCATAATATTGCCTTTTTATAATCAGGCAATATTAAAGAAAAAATTTCACCATTGAATGAACCGTGAAAGCCCAAACAGTCAACGACGTAGCGTAGACGTAGGTTGACGCACACACGATCTACCTTATGGGATTCGCGTGCTAACGAAAACTCACCACCGCATGGCGGTGACGTTGCCGTTGCTTCTCTCTCTCTATCAACAGTAAATTTGATAGGCTGCTACGTACGTCAACCTACGTTTAAGCTACGTCGTTGACTAACTGCGCTTTGAGTTAGGTATTTGCAAATTATTTTTATTTGAAAACTGAACTGAAACGAATTTCTATCCTATCGGTCTTGTGCATGAACGAAAGACACAAGATCACGCCTTCCCGAGAGAAAGAAAAAAGTTATTTTCTAGCTGTTGAAATCTCGACACCATCTGTTTTGTAAGAAGTAAACAACGAAGAGAACAAAAAAAAAAACGCGTAATTGTTGAACGCATGAATAATCATTTTTATTATGCAAATTCTTCTATAAATCATGTCGTTGTGTTAAATTATTCTTTACCTTATGTGTGCACAAGTTGTCACAAGCGAAAATTAAGAAAATTGCAGTAAAGAGCCACCACCAAATTGTAAACAACGAACAAATGTAAACAAACGGCTAATGTCAAAGTCGCCCAACATTTTTCCTAAATGCGATTATAACGGGCTACTAAGAAGGCATGATCTTGTATTTTTGGTTCATGGGTCTTGTGGTTTTTAGATAGTGGCCCGTAGTCATAGTCAAAATAAAGTCGACTTTAAAGTTAGTTGCAGCTTTTTTGACAGATATCCCATTGAAAATTATGTCAAAAAGCTGGAACTAACTTTAAAGTCGACTTTATTTTGACTATGACTACGGGGCAGTATCGATAGTGTTAAAAACTATCGGTAGTAGACCGAAATCCAAAACCATCGATACATCGATAGTACCATCGATAGTTTGACAGTTCTATTGCGCGCGCTTTTGTTTGTCAATTGCGTTTACATTCCCATTTGCGGCGTGAATTAGTTGGTGGAAAATTTATTAATTACTGCTGGAAACAAAACGTTTCGCATCTTTACCAAATTAAATAATATAGAAATGTCTAGCCCAGCTCGAACTCCTGAAGGGGGTGTTACACCAAGAGGTCAGGGAGACCGAACCCCTACGCGAAGTAAGTTTACAAGATATGGTCTATAAATGTATGAACATGGTTTTGTCTTAATTTGTAAAAACACCCTTTATTAGATCCGATTGTGGCTCAAGATGCCTCAGATACGCCTATGCGCATGGGTCCTACTACTCAGCGGCAAAGTCAGCCATCCGAAATAAGTTTGCCTCCAACATCACCAGGTGGCTTGAGCTTACCAGCTACCAGTCCCGCTCGTGCGCTTGGTATGAGTGAAATTGATTTAAGTTCACCTTTAAACTATGGAACCCCAAGCTCTATTGGCTCAATTAGAACGCCTCGCTCGGGTATACGTGGAACACCTTTGCGCGCGCGTCCCGACATACGCACCGATAAACGCATGCGCCAAGTAGCTATTGGAGCTCCCGGTGTAAGTTTCTTAGTGGTAGTACTTAAAAGCTAGACATTAATGTTCTTTCATTGTGATCGCTAGTTGGATCCTATAGCTGAGAAGCCCTCTGAAGGCACAGATACAGTCTCAGAATCGTCTGCTACACCACAGATGGTAGTATGGGGCACCAATGTTGTAGTTCATCAGTGCAAAACCAAGTTCAAAGTTTTCCTCATGCGTTTTATTGATCCTGAGGTTGAACGCGATGAGATATCCGAAAACATAGACATAAATCAGCCCATATATATGCAGAAGCTAGAGGAGATTCATACTTTAGAAGAACCGTACCTTAATGTGAATTGCGCGCACTTGAAAACATTTGATGAAGCATTGTATCGCCAACTGATTTGCTACCCGCAAGAAGTTATACCGGCTTTTGATATGGCAGTAAATGAGATGTTCTTCGAACGGTATCCCGCAGCCGTGTTGGAGCACCAAATTCAAGTACGCCCATTCAATGCAGATAAGACGCGCAATATGCGCTCCCTCAATCCAGAAGACATAGATCAACTACTAAGTATCAGTGGAATGGTAATACGCACATCTGGAGTTATCCCAGAAATGCGTGAGGCCTTCTTTAAATGCATACTTTGTGCATTTTGCGTATCAGTTGAGGTTGATAGAGGACGTATCGCACAACCGACACTTTGTACAAACTGTAATACAAATCATTGCTACCGATTGGTCCACAATCGTTCGGAATTCACAGATAAGCAATTGATAAAACTACAAGAGTCGCCGGACGACATGGCAGCCGGACAAACGCCGCACAATGTACTGCTTTATGCTCACAATGATTTGGTCGACAAGGTACAACCTGGTGATCGAGTCACCGTAACTGGTATATACCGCGCCGTTCCAATGAAAGACAGAGGTCGTAACATTAAAAGCGTTTATAAAACCCACATTGATGTGGTGCATTACCGCAAAGTTGATAGCAATCGTTTATATGAACAGGAAGAGGGGTATGTACATGTACGAACGTCAAATGCTATGGTACTTAAATATTTTTAAATATGTATATATGTAAAGGAAAATGCACATATTCACACCTGAACGCGTGGAACTCTTACATTTGCTTTCACAAAAACCCGATATTTACGACCGTTTGTCGAGAGCTATAGCTCCATCTATATATGAAAATGACGACATCAAGAAGGGTATTCTGTTGCAATTGTTTGGTGGCACTAAGAAGACGCATTCAACTTTGGGCAGACAGAATTTCAGGTAATTCATTAACATCATGTCCTATTGGATTATTGTCAGGAGTATGCATTCATTTTCAATTTCTTTTATATATAGAGCTGATATACACTTGCTTTTATGTGGTGATCCAGGTACATCAAAGTCTCAACTATTACAATACGTTTTCAATTTGGTGCCGCGATCGCAATATACTTCCGGCAGAGGTTCTTCCGCAGTTGGTCTAACAGCCTATGTTACAAAGGACCCAGAAACACGACAGCTAGTTCTGCAAACGTATGCATTTTCATAATCTTATGATTTCGTAAATTCTATTCAAGTGTATTTATAGAGGTGCATTGGTACTGGCTGATAACGGCGTTTGCTGCATCGATGAGTTTGATAAAATGAATGACTCAACGCGCAGTGTGCTGCATGAAGTCATGGAACAACAAACACTGAGCATAGCTAAGGCTGGGATAATTTGTCAGCTAAATGCTCGCACATCAATTTTGGCGGCAGCCAATCCTGCAGAATCGCAATGGAATAAAAAAAAGAACATAATAGACAATGTACAATTGCCACATACGCTGTTATCTAGATTTGATTTGATTTTCCTTGTGCTCGACCCACAGGATGAACAGTTTGATCGCCGTCTAGCCAATCATCTCGTATCACTTTATTATGTGACTCGGCATGAAGAGGAGGATACAATGTTTGTAAGTGACTCAAAAAAAAAAAAAAAACGAATTGCTTTATATAAATATTTAAATCCACAGGACATTAGTGTATTACGTGATTACATTGCTTACGCTCGTGAACATTGCTCCCCTACATTATCGGAAGAGGCTCAGCAACGCCTTATTCAAGCGTATGTTGATATGCGTAAGGTAGGCGCACGTCGTGGTCAAATATCAGCCTATCCAAGACAATTGGAGAGTTTGATACGTCTGTCGGAAGCACACGCCAAAGTGCGGCTAAGTAGCGTTGTAGGTGTTCAAGATGTAGAAGAAGCTTGGAGGTAGTGCTATAGCTTAATTTTTGTTTGCAAAACAAATTGACTAAACAAATTCCAACTTAGGTTACATCGTGAAGCTTTGAAACAATCTGCGACAGATCCACTATCTGGTAAGATAGACGTAGGCATTCTCACTACTGGCCTCTCGACTGCTGCGCGCAAAAAACGTGCAGATCTCGTATTAGCCATCAAGGAAAATTTGAAGAAAAAAGGAAAAGTACCAACAGTTCCATATCAGAAACTTTTCAAAGAAGTCAAAGATGCTTCGCAAATTGTAAGCCCTTTTTTGGAAATTATTTGACGTGATATTTACTAACGTCTGTATTAAATTTTAGTTGATAACACGCGAGCAATTCGAAGATGCTCTCAAAGAAATACAAGATGAAGGAGCAATCGTGGTAATGGGCAAAAACACTATAAGGATCTGTTAAGTTGTTAAGTACATATAAAAGCATTCATATGAATGTTTTTTTTTTTAATATACATATGTATATATTTTTTTATTATCTACCGTTATTTCAAATAATTTTTCAATCAAACGTCCTTTAATCCATGATAAAAACATTGGACTCTTTTTCTCGATTCGTCGGTTATGATTTTTTAATTGGTCGATTACGGATTGCAACCGAACTTCAGTTGGGCGGCCAGTGGCTGACATGGTATTACAGATGGCAACTGGCACCTGAAAGCTGACAACTGAGTTGCTTTATTAGCAATTGCATTTTTGTGGTTGCCGCGGAAATTTTGATTGAGATAATTTATTTATTTTTTCAACTGTTTCTTCAGCTTATTTACACCCAAGTCTTAGTTGGTGGTTCTTCTATTTTTTGTTACCTTCAACGTTATAGAACTTAACTATAGTTGCTATTCATAATATACATTTTCCTTTCAGTGGCGTTGGCCATCGGCAATCCAACTGCGGTTGCGTTGCCACCCATAGTCGAACCATAAGTTTGCCAGCGTTTTAAAATTATATGAAACTGAAAATAAAGAAATAAAATTATTCAAAATGGTTGCGAGGCGAATTAATAATTTATATTAGTTATTCCGCCCAAGGCGAATCTCTACAAGGGTGTTACCGGCGAATTAGATTTTTGCTGCGGTTGTACAGAGTGTCCCAAGGCGAATTTATACAGGGGGGTAGCAAGGATACAACAAAACCACATGTATTTTGTATTGCGCGTGTTATGTCAAATCTCAACTCGCCCCAAAGTTTGCATGTAAGGAGTCGAATCTATACAAGGTCAAGGTGGTGTTATCGGATCCGCTGATTCCACGGCGAATTTGTACCTTTTTTTTTTTACAAAATGATATGTTTGTTGTAATTTTCTTTTATACTGATTATTAGGGTGCGTTCAGAAATGCATCAAGCCGAAGCATCAGTCTCTTTTACTTCTAAACTACAACTGATGGAAATGCCTTGTTTACGCAATTACGTTTCAATTAGGCATTTAACCGTGGTTACGCATATTGGACATTTCCATCAATTATAGTTTAGAAATAAAAGTGTCTGATGCTTTGGGTTGATGCATTTCTGAACACATCCTTAATGTGCGTATAATTGATTACTGTAATTTTTGTTTTTGTTCTGTTAACACCTTGTATAAATTCGCCTTATATAAGGCGAAGAAATAAGCTGGGCTCAAATCGTAACATTCGTTTACGGATCGAAAACCACACGAAAGAAAATTACGTGATACATCAGTCGTTTAAGCTGAATATGTCATAATCCGAAAAACGTGTTTTTACATGACGAGTAATACGATATCATGTGTGGTGATTCAGGCCCAGATCTAATTTCGCCGGTAACACCACCTTGTATATATTCGCCTTGAATTCACGCAAGGCGAATTTATACATGGTGGTAATGGCAAATTTAGATTTCGCCGCGGTACTTCTTAATGTCAAAATGATGTGTTTGTTGTTATATGAATTCGCTTCTTTTACAACAAATACATCATTTAGACCAAGGCGAATTTATACAAGGTGGTGTTGATGGCGAATTACATTTTCGCCGCGGTACTACAAAATGATGTGTTTGTTGTAAACAAGGCGAATTCATTTTACAACAAACACATCATTTTGACATTCAGTAGTACCGCGGCGAAAATTTAATTCGCCATCAACACCACCTTGTATAAATTCGCCTTGATTTAGCCATTAAGATGTACCGCGGCGAAAATCTAAATTCGCCATTAACACCAACTTGTATAAATTCTCCTTGATTTCACACGAAGAATTTTTGCTGGTAGAATCTGGTACAAGGCGAATTTGTACAAGGTGGTGTTGACAGAACAAAAACAAAAATTCCAACAGCAAATTATACCCACATTGACGATCAGTACAAAGCAAAATTACAACAAATACATAATTTTGACAAAAGGTATAAATTCACCGTGAAATCAGTGCATCGGATAACAGTACCTTGTTTAGATTCGCCTTGATCTGGTACGTATGTACTTTTTAGTTTTTCTCTTTGAGGAACATTTTGCTTTTTGACAGTTTTAGAGCGCGGTTATCCACGAACGTTTACGAAGTACGTAGCGTACCAAGGCGAATTAATATAAGGTGATAGCAGGAGTACAAAAACAAAAATTTACATGTATTTTGTTTTTGCTTTGGCGGCATAAACTGTCAAAATCTGTAAGAGTGTGTGTAGAAATTCAAACAAAATTTTTCAATTTGATATCAGAAGCCGTGCGGCGAAACACATACACAAAATCAGCTGAGCTAGTAACACCACCTTATATAAATTCGCCTTGTAGCGTACCGTAGAGAAGCGTAGAAACATATCAAGTTTGCCGTTGGTAGAAGAGAGAGGCAGCGTCTACGTCATCGTCATGCGGTGGCGAGTTTTTGTTAACATGCAGATCTCATAAGATCGTGTCAGCTGACACGTTCAAAGTATTTACGTCCGTGTGTAACTGCGCTTTTGCGGGGCCCGAATCGCTACGAACGTAACAGCTGTCATTTTGTTTCATTAGATTCGAAACAAGTGATCACACGATCACGAATGGCGCGATTCGAACGGCCCAGGTTTTATCCAGAAAAGTTGAACGAAACTATTATTTTGCAAACGTCAAAAATGCTAAAAGTGCTTCTCATGATACACAAATTTAAACACTTGATCTCAGCGGTTCTACCCAAAATGTGTTTAACAAAGTGTGATTGAATTTGACATTGAAAAGAGAGCCCATCTGAGTTGTCCATCACGCCTTGTTTAATACATCTTGATTCCACCTATGTCTTTGTTTTACTTGAATATATTTTTATCACGCTTTAAAAAATGTTTCAAGCAAGTTTATACTTTTTGAGCATCCCTTTAAAATGTAACGACTCTGGCGCTAAATAAGCTAAATAATAGAGTTCGTAAAACTGTTGTATGACGGAATTTATTTGGTCCCTATCCGGTAGTGCATTTTTGGTCCCAAACCGCAGTTTCGGTACCAGTGTGAATTTAGTAATATCCCAAATATCATTTTGGAAGCCGCCGTATTAAAATAATATATTGGCAAAAGTCGAATGGTTGGAAATTTTCATCTGCAAATTTTTGGGTTGATTTATTACAAATTTTCATACATATTGCAATGTCTTCAGAGCCAGATGCAAAGCAAATAAATTGCAGCAAATTTGAATCAGCAGAAGAAGGAATTGTCACTACAGTAGTGGAAAATGCAAACAATACGATGTCGCGAACAGAACAAGAGGAATCTTGCCACCAAATCGACTGTTCGGTCCCGCGCAAACAACGCGAACGCCGTAATAAATCTCCTATTGCCATATCAACACTTTTAGAAACTTTTGCAGCTCCACTATCACCAGCATCATCTTGTACTTCACAAGGCAATAGCAGTGCCGATGCCACATTTGAGCCTTCTATTGATATGATGGTCAATGACTTTGACGATGAACAAACGCTCAATGAGGAGGAAGCATTAGCTGCCATGGAGCAACAAGATCCACATGATGAAATTGCTACCTTGAAGGAAGAGGGCGAAATGCCTTTAGAAGAGTTACTAGCCAAGTATCAAGGAGCGCCTCCTATTCCTGTACACATTGCCACTCAGAGGAAAAAGAATAAAAGAAGTGCGGGGAGTGGGAAACATTCGAAACACAGAAAAACGGAAAGTGACTTGCCAGTAGAAATTAATATTTCTGAGGACTATATGAATGGCGCAATAGAGCCAGTTGAAGAAAATCAGTCGAAAACGAAACAAACAACAGCGAATGAACTTATATTAATTGAAGAAAGTAATGATGAAGATCATAATGCCAGTAAATTGATGACAAAATCTTCCTTGGGTGAAGAAGTTGCTTTGGCACAGCAAGGGGAGGATTGCATGCCTGCTCGAAATGCGGAGAACAATGATTCATCAATTGAACATGTTAATGAAAAAACTAAACACCGTCGCTCTCATCTTATGGATCTTTATCCAGAAGAGTCCTTTACAGAAGTATTAAATTCAGGAGATGGAACTGACAAAGGTAAATCTAAAATAGTTAAGACCCACAGGTATTAGACTGAATTAGAAAGGGATCTAAAATAGGAGCTTCTTAAGAGATATTTAATCGTATTTTATGTTTAGATTTGCCACTCAAACCTCTCTTTAATGAATACGACGAAATAGAAGATATAAATGAGGTGGAGGAGGAGGAGGAGGAAGGAGAGTTTGATAGTGACTATGTGAAGAAAACAATCATGGTAGGTCCGTCTTATCAAGCAACCATACCGGATGGATTATCACAGTATGGAGATGTGTTACCATACGAGAATGAGGATAAATTAATTTGGGAACCAAGTCAGGTTAGCGAACGTCAAGTAGAAGAATATTTATTGAAAGCTCGCGATATCAAGCCGTGCATGTTGGACAGTGTTGATGAAGAAACCGAAGAATGTAACGAGACTAATAGTGCAGCGAATAAAGCTACCGAAGCTATAGGTCTACGGAATGGAAGTGATACTGATAATAAAGAATTCTCTAAGAATCACAATACGGACGATGTGCTTAATCTACCGTCGTCCCTTGCCAATAATGAATGCGGTGATGCGACTGCTGTCATCAAAGACAACGAGCAGGTCTGTACAAACTTTAAACTGCAAATACAATTGTAGTTATTCTAAAAATGTTCATTTATCTGGTTACAGGCTCTTCACTTGCTGGTCCAATGCGGATATGATTTCAAAGAGGCCTTACGTCGTAAACGTCTAAATGCGCTTCCACTGACTGGTTCGATGAGTCTTTGGTCGGAAGAAGAGTGTCATAAATTCGAGGAGGGTATACAAAAATTTGGCAAAGATTTTCTTAAAATTCGCCAAAATCAGGCAAGTATGGAACAAATAAGATTTGATAAATGCTGTATTAATAAGACGCTGTCGTCACAATTAATAAAGGTGCGTACTCGTACAATGCGAGAGCTGGTACAGTTTTACTATCTTTGGAAGAAAAGTGATCGCCGTGATCATAATTTTGCTAACTCCGACACCGTGGATCACATGGATATCTATCTAAATGAGGGTGGCGATTATAGCCCAACATCGGCAATCAACGGCACTGCAGGAACTGGTCACTCAACTAATAACAACGGCGCTCCAACTTTGGGTGTACGAAAAAACAATGCGTGCGCTCAGAAGAATCCAATCTCTATAATGATGACCGGCAGCACTAATATCAATAACTGTGCGACAACAACAACAGCAGCAGCAACACAATTAAATGTCAGCAATAGTAAAGTAGCTAATAATCGAAAACGTAATGCTGTGGGACATCCCAATAATAATTATGAAAATCCAATAACTCCAAATATACCATTATCGCCTGCACAAACGAAATGATTACGGATCGTTTCGTAGCCCAATAGAATAATGCTTAGGGGGAGGAGGGTAAATGTGCGACGCGCTGAAGCTAAACCGTGAAGGTACTGGTGACCTAATCGTTATGCTGCGCAGCATGCAAAAAAGAAGTTACGGAAATGAATAGTATTAAATTAAAAATTAAAAAATATTTCTCTATACATAATATGTCTATTATATATGTATTAGTACATATAGGAGTTTAAATAACTTTTCCATCGTTTAAAAATTTCAATCTTGAAGAGTAATGAAATTATCGATGCAGATAGAAATTCATTAAAGTTTTTTTTTTAATATAAGTTAGATTTGTAAGTGTTTAAACGATAACAATAAATGTTTTTCGTCACATGGCTACTGAATTCAATGTATGTAATACAGTGTATATACATGCAAGGATACATAATAGTGGAATTCACGCTTCTGTGTATTCGTTGTATCTTATGCAATTGTAACTGAGTGAGCGTATGCTTTGTTGTTGCTAGCGATACAATAAATAAACATGCATTGGCGGTGGCAATTGTCGCCCAGTGCATTGCTTTGCAACTAGTTTTTAACCGGCTCCGTTTTGGACGGGTTTTTTTTTTTTATAAGATTAGATTTTTGGATATTTTTTCGTTTTTTGTTTTCTTTTACAGATTCTATTTTTGTTATTGTAAGCCGAAATTCATTAAATTTAAAAACTCACAACTGCCTCCGCCCGCGATTTGAACTCGCGACCAACGATGCTTGAGTCGGAAGTCTTCTCGCTGAGCTACTTTCGTATTGTACGAGTAGTGAGCATTTGCAGATTTACGCCGCTAGTTTCAACTGTACCGCTCTGCATCCATTTTGCACTAGAGATAGTTCTGATATATGTAGTTCGGAACTAGCGCTTTGTCAGACTGTCTCTAAATTTTACTGCAGGACACTTACGCAAGATTGGTTTATTTAAAATTCAACACGTTATCATTCTCTTTTGAATAAGTAAAAATCTTATTGGGAAGTAGATTTTACAAATCGCCAGTGGTATTAAAGCCCATATTTGAAGCTAGTTGCTCTAAAAGAAGGTATTTTGTTCCTTGAATAACGATTTTGTTGTTGGCTCGGTGTGAATAACAATGTTTTACCGCTGGAATTTCCAAATAGCTACGGTCGAAATGAGCGAAAAATTTGCCAACATAATGCGCAAAGAATGTTTCTCATTCTTGGTACTCATTTTTCCCATAGTGAAAAGATTTTATTTGTTTTCCAAAGCTATATGCTTTTTACTTTAAACTAAATATCCTTTTCGCCAAGGAAAGGTTTGCCATGCCGAATGATTCTCCAAGTTGTGGAGCATGAGAATCAACTATATTGGAGTTTCTTTCATCATTGAAAATAGCGTTTTTCAATTCTTCCTACAAAATTTTTAATTTTTGTAAAATGCTAAAAACGCATTTACGTGCCATAGAGTGGGCTGTGGTTTAGCGATCTATTTCTTCAACTTTAGCAAGGTACATTGAACAGGTAGTATCAGTAGAGCAGCTGATTTGATTTATTTTCAAATTATTTGGTCTCGAAAATGTCAAATATTTTTAATTTTTTCTCACGAAAATTATAAGTTCTTAAAATCCACTTGCTTGTGAAACCTTTTTCCATACAAAACAAGCGATTGAATAGCAGCTTTTGGAACGTTCGCCCAACTCGGCAGCACGACCGCTGATTACTGGGCCTTGGAAAGGATGGATCAATGCTTCGAGAAGCAAACAAATTTACTAGGAAAGAAAGTTGCATCAATTTTTATTTTTTCCAATTTCAATTTTTTATTTTTTATAATTTTTTGTATTTCACATGGCACGCTTTGATTTAGAAGAAAAAATTCAGAACAGTTTTTGACACTTTCGATACCAGAAGCAACAACAAAATACACGCAAATGTTGTTTTTGCTCTACTGATACTACCTGTTTAATGTGCCTTGAACTTTAGTAACAAAATTATTTATTGTGAATTTTCACTTATGACAGAGAGATTCAAAAACTTTTAAATTTTTACGGTAAATCATGGTATTCCTAGTAGCTTGGTTGCTACACTGCCGGAACAAAATATTGGCACAGCAAATTTTTCACAATATATGCAACAATTTTTATTCTAATATTTTTCCGTTAATTTCGTACAAAAATATGGTTCATTCTACAACAAAAAACATAAAAATATAATTTCATGAAAATTTTCAACTTTTTAATCAGATTTTTTAGAATTTTCTTGAGTATGCAGATTTGTAGCCCAATCAATTTTATAATAATAAAGTGCAAGTTTTAAGTAGCTAAGAATTGCCGTAGTTACGTAGCCTCTTCCATGCAAACAATTTTTTTCGGAAATATTTTATATGAAAAAAATGCAAAACACCTTCAACAAAAAAAATCTAAAAAATCTGATTAAAAAGTTGAAAATTTTGATGAAAATTTGCTGAATTTTCGCGAGTTTTGCACAAAGTTTAGGAATTACATTTCTATGTTTTTTGTTACTGCATGAACCATATTTTTATACAAAATTGGCGGAAAAAAATTAGAATAAAATTTGAGGCATATATTGTGAAAAATTTGATGTGCCAATACTTTGTTCCGGCAGTGTAACTATTGGATATGTCATTTGCACCACTCTTTTGGGGCTTATATAGGCATATATGTATGTAATACTCCTATATTGGCAGTAAGAGCTAGTACCGTCCGAAAACACTACAGTACAGATATATCAATAAACACGTACGAACCCAGTAGAACTTGGGAGCATCGTACGATTGCTCGTTGAGCACTCCCTTAGGAGTATACGAATACTCCCCATGGCTCCCTATGCTTCTGTGTATAAGCATGTAATTTTGTATACTCCCTTTAACATTGTATGTCCTAGGAGGGCGAGTAATTCCTTTCACCTCCTAAACGAGCAATCAGGGAGCACACAGAAAAATAGCATCCCAAAAACCTCCTAAGGGAGCAATTCGGGAGTACTCTCAGAATAACCTCCCAGAAACCTCCCAAAAAGACAACAAGGGAGTGCACAAAGAAAAACATCCCACATTCCTCCCGAACGAGCAATAAGGGTGTACTCCCATATGAGGCATCCCGCAAGCCTCCGTTACGAGCAATAAAAGATGGTTTATATCCTCCTAAATTCCTCCTCATGGAGTAATAGGATATCACTCCACATTGCTCCATAATGAGCATCCTTCATAAACAAAACACATTTTGATATTAACGCATTCCACGTATTTAATTTTTTTTATCACATGTGCACATTAATATAACATCTTACACTAGATAAAACATACATATACATATATATGTATAAATAATGCTTATTTAATAATAGTACAGAAAAATTATATGAAAACTAACCATTACAAACTTAAAACGGCGAGATATACCATGAAAGTATGTTTATGATACGCTATGTGGCGAAAATGCTTTATTGGTAATTGACCGGTATTCACATGGGAGTCCACAGAAATGAGACGCATCAAATTGTTAACAGCTTCCGGCCGATTTCCGGCAGGTATTCTCTCATTCCCACAGTCAGGCTGTAGGCGATTTGTCAAATTCCTTGTTGTTTCGATAAATTTCAAGCCAAATGGAACAATAATTACCACTTCAAGGTATTTACATATTCAGATTTCAAAATCCCTTAATGGCGAATGCGACTCATGCCTCTCGACACCCAATAAAAGTTCTGGACGGGACAGGATCAGAAACGTAACCACTCAAATATCTCAAGGGCGGTGTCACCGTCGGAAATGCATTTTGCATTAAATAATGAAATCATTAAAAAGTTTAAACAAATCTTGGCATACATACCGATGGATCTTAATGTTGGATGTCCAATTTATTTTATTATTTCAAGATTATATTTTTTTCATCAAGAAATATGTATGTATGTATATATTTACAAACGTATAAGTTACCTATCTGTCTTTTTTTATTCATAATACATTTTTCCAAAAATACAAAATTGATTTGAACGAGGTGCATATACCTCCCTTATCAATCAAAAGGAATACTCTTGGATTTCTCGCTTAAGAGACCTCGCTTTTTGCTCCTATGCGAGTAGTACGGAGTCTTGCTTATTGCTTCGAAATCATGTCTCAGGGAGGACTCTTTTATTGCTCCCGTACGAGATCTCTTATTTGACTTCTAAGCGGGTAAAACCGGAGTACAAAACCGAAAAATCTCGCTTATTACTCCTTTTCTTCTTTTATTGCTCACATAGGAGATCTCCCATTTGGCTCCTAAGCAAGTAATAAAGGAGTAAAAAACCGACAAATCTCTCTTATTCCTCCGAAATCAGGCCATAGCGAGTACTCTTTTATTCCGCACATAAGGAGATCTCGCTTCAAGTTCTAGTGGGAAAGAAAAGGAACACATACGTTTATAAATAAACATGTACACAACACATATACAAAAACGGCACCCAAGTACACAATACAATTTCCGGTATTTCTCTTACTGGCGCCTGCAACTATTCTTCATATCTACTACCGCCGGCAGCTTTAACAATTTTATAGCGGTTTTACGTTCTTTGGCAAATTACGCTCTGTTAGCCATACATTTTACTATGTTTTGACCATCTTTGTATCAAGACCCCTGGGCCGGGCCATCTAGGGAATTAATTTATATTTTAGATTGCATTGTCATCGTGATTGGAACTATGCTGAAAATTTCAAGCCTCTACCTTGTCGGGAAGTTAGTTTAAAATCGATTGGAAATTTCCGCGGGAAAATAAAAGCTTGTAAAAAGAACGTAATTAGCGTAATGCGTAATGAGTAGAGTGATTTCAAATTGATCAAATACAAGTAATTTTTAAGCAAAAAACAAAACCGACTTGAATCCTCATATACAAATTTAAGATGATCGTTAATTTCTTCATGATCTAATGGTCGGATTTAGGTGAGGTAACACCTTTCTTTTAAAAAAAGAATTATAGAAATCGGATAACGTGTTCCAAAAGTGTGACTTCATAGCAGATTTTGTGTATTGCCCGCGTAATATACATATGGGAGGTTCCATGGGAAAGTGAACCTCAGTGCAAAAATTATTTTCTTTATAAAACTAACAAACGTGTCGATAAGACATTTGTAAAAACTTGAATCAACCAAAAAATAACAAATTAAAGCTTTAAATTAGGGCTGTGCGATTATTCGATTACTCGAGCAAGTTGGTTAATCAATTATTCGGTTAATCAATTACTTGAGTAATCAAGATTTTGATTACTCAAAACGATGATTAATCGAGTTACTTGAAATATGATTACTCAAAAATAATAATTTTGCTCGTTAAAAGAGTTTACTTTGGAAAATGCTTATTTTCTTTTTTACATTCTGTATATGAAAAAATTTTTCGTTTTAATTTTTGAAAACAGAAACGTTGTTTTCAAAGTATCAAGGAACTTTAACTACTTTATACATATGTAAAGAGTTGAAATGTTGATTACTCATTTTACTCGAAATGTTGATTAATCATAAAGCAAATTACTCAAATATTTTTGTTTTTGGTTAATCAAAAATCTTGATTACTCGAGTAACTGAACTTTTGAGTAATCATAATTTCCGATTAATCGAATAATTGAGTTATTGACTTTATGATTAATTAAAATTTTGAGTAATCAATTAATCGCACAGCCCTACTTTAAATGCATTTTAATTACCTTTTTTACGTTTTGAAATCAATTTCTAAGTAAATTTTTTGATTGAGTTTACAGCAGATTGTGTTGAATGTAGAGTCCGACCGATTCCAATTTTTTTTTCAGGTATCCGTGCCGATGCCGATTAATCGGCTTATGGCGAAAGAATCGTTCGATGCCGATGCCGACTCCATAAAAAATTACAAATGTATTATTTCATAAAATCAGTTAATTTAACGCAGTTAACAAAACAAAAGAAAACAAATAATTGAATTAATACATTACATATGTTATATGTATGTATGTGTAAAAATATATGTACATATATCAATTCATTTTTGTGGGCTGTCTGCAAATGTTTTTTGATGTTGGCTGTTGTCTGTCGCTTCACCTGAACATATGAAAAGAAATTCCATATAATCGGCGAAAAAACGCCGATACCGATGCCGATGCCAAATACTAGCCAATGCCGATGCCGATTAATCGGTCGGGCTCTAGTTGAATGCACTGTCAAATAATTTGCGATTCATAATTCAAGTGTTTGGTAAGAAAAATATATAGTAGAACACATCTGCTTTTAATAAAATTGTGTTATACATTAAATTGTGTGACTGCTTTATCTATATTATGAGTTATTATTAAGCAGTATTGCTCTTGTCCCACCCGCGACAAAAAAAGTTAAAAGTTGTTATATTTAATTACAGAAGTAGAGATATTAGAAATTCATTGCAAACATTTACCACAATTAACACAATTACATTTTCGTTTCTACGTAGTTAGATAAGAATAATTCAACAGAGATGAATGTCCCACCCGTGACAGCTATGTGTGGGACAGTTGTCATAAGTAGGTTTACAGGGCTGATAAGCTTTATTTGCATGTTGAGGTGGACGCAGGGGAAGAGGGGGGGGGGGGGGGGGGTGCGTGGACTCGTCCATTATCTATATACCCTTGTGGTCAGCTGATTAAGTTAGGCTACATTTTGACCAGTTTTGGTTTTTTATTTTGTTAATCTAACGTTTATAGTTTTCTTTATAAAAGTGTAGCACATTACCTAACCAGAACCGCATAAATCTACATTTCAAACTTTTTACAAAAATTATAAAAATTTTAAAACTTTACAAATTTTAAACTTTTTGTTCAGAATTTTTAGGTATGCACTTTTGTAGTCCATTAAATTTAAGTAGGTAAAAGTGAAAATTTCAGGACGCTAGGAAATCGCGTTCATTTTTTATAATTTTTTTCGCTGACGGTGCTAAGCATTTTCTTCTATATAAAAGGCACCATCCTAAGATAAAACGTGAGTGAATTTAACCCCTACTTGGCTTCTTATATTTTTTAATAACTAATCTTTAGATGGACCACACTAAAAGCTCCTTTTCATATAAAAATTCGTACGTGTCCTACCCGTGACAAACGTTGTCCCACCCGTGACAGAGGAATTTCAGATTTTTTGTATAATAAAGCCATAATTGTTTTGTAGTTTTTGCTCTGTTCTTTGTTTTATTATAATAAATCAACTTCACACAGAAAAGGGAAATAAATTCGCAGAGTTTCCGTAAAATATATCTGCTCCACAAAGCAGGTTCTTTTTTTTGTCCCACCCGTGACAGAAGAAATAAATCAGATTTTTTCCATATAAAAGTAAGCTGGATTTTTTTCGTAATAAATCATATAATAGTCAACTAGGTGTAACTTTATCAAAATGTAGAATTGTTGATTACTTTATACTTAAATTTAAACAAGAAAGAAAATTTGTTTCTGTACAAATGTGCAACCCGTGACGGTGGAATCGCCCATATGTACATGTATGTACTAGGGATGTTGCCAATGTGGAATTTTAGACACCCGCGGATGCGAATGTCTAATTTAAGTACTTTAAGAAACAATTAAATTAAGTGAATTAAGTTATTTATTATTTATTTATTTATTTGGTTTACAGAAAAATGTTTTCTTACAGACAAATGAGAATAAAACATTTATGTAGATATTTAAATATGTGTGATATATTACAGAGTAGACTAATTATACATATTGATTTTTAATAATAATAATAATAATAATATAAAATAGCAGGTTTGGTAGCTGGCGAGGCCTAGTCTCAAGTCTACTTTGGTGCGCGGCGGGCGGAAAGCTCTAGTTTCCACTCCGCGCTATGGGCAAGCTGTTGATCAAGGTCGGAAAGAACGAGTCCCCGATTCATGCTCGTATTGTCTTAGCCTGTATCACATTAAATCTTAAAAAGAGTTTTGAATTGTGCGTTTACTGCTAAGCTTGGGACAGTCTAGGGTTAAGCAGAGCCCTATCCAATAGGATGATCACGTTGGTTCGTCAAGGAGTGTTTTGTGACTATTCAACTCTTGATAGCGTTAAACATGATAGCATTGCGATGGGTATCAGATCCTTGTGGGAAACGAAGTAGTCCACGAACTGGCGAGAGTAATCTCATCGTCTGTCCGTATGGGTTCGGACACAGTTGGTATTTTTCGAGTCTCAGATAATACTGGGGTGAGTTAGGTGATCTTTTGGATTGTGATACTCACAGGGCTCGCCACCGGTCATCTTCTGTGTTTTAAAGATGAAGAAGAGTCGCGCCACATTCTTCGTGATTGGAACCTGAACTTATTTACAGTCGAACTTATAAATTAAAATAAAATTTGTGCACCTAGGAAAACTGTTAGTATCTTAGAATGTTAGGGTTACGTCATTAACAAGAATAACGCATGGTTAAAATTAGGGATGTCCTGGGTACCCGATAGATATCTGGTATCCGGCTTATGAGGCTGATTTTTTGGTTAACCGACTATCCGGCTGGATACTGCTACGGATTTACGGCTTTTGACTGAATAAATTTTAATTTGAAAGGTTTTTCAGAAAAAACTGTTTTTTTTTTTAACCGAAACTATAAGTTTTTTAATTTGTGGGAATTTTTTTTCTTTTTTATGTATGTATGTACATTAGACTGCATCACTGCCCATAAAATAAAAAATTGGTACTGTTTCTCCATTGGAATTATAAAGTCTATTATACTTTAAGACGTCCACCAAAATATTTCGGAAAAATATTAAGATTTAAGCGAGCTGGACCGATTTGAAAATACCTCCAAAAATGGAGCTTTTTTTATGAATAAAAGTAGTTTCTTAAAGATGTATTTTTGAAAAAAATGCCTCAAATGACAAAACGGGTTAAGCTTAAAAAATTTATATAAAAATATAAAAAAAAAAGGAAAAAAAACAAAATTTTGAACGGAATCGCAATAATGAGACTTTTGATGCTGTTTTTTTAACTTTGGTATAAGAAAAACTTGAATAACTGAACCTAAACTCTTCCGATTTAGACTTTTGAGGTATCAGTTAGAAAGGTATTTTCTCACCCTTTTTATTTCTTTGCTAATAAGCTCATGGAAAGGATGAAAGAGAAAGGTAGGATGAACGAACATCATTCCAAGTGGAATTAAGATGTGTTGGTATTTGAAAAAAAAAAAAACTGGGACAAATACCTTTCTGCCGAGATCGCATAAGTCTAAATCAGAATAATTTTGCATCAGTTATTTAAGTTGTTCGTAAATCCATCTTTGAAAAAAGTAAATAAAAAACAGCATCAAAAATCTCATTATTACGATTCCGTTGAAAAGATTTTTATGCAGATTTTTTAAGCCTAATCTGTTTTGTCATCTGAGGGCACTTTTTTTCAAAAAGTTCTTTAAGAAACCATTTTAATTCATAATTTGGACGTATTTTCAAATCGGCCCAGCTCGCCTAAATCTTAATATTTTTCCGAAATATTTTGGTGGACGTCTTAAAATATAATAAATTTTGTAATCCCGGCGGAAAATCCGGGACTTTTTTTTGGTGATGCAGTCATTATCGACGATTTCGACATCATGCGTATAACATGTGATCGATAAAGCAGTCGTTGTATCTAACCGGAGCTTCTACCTCCGATTTGTGCTAATCAGACATTGAACAACCGGCCCTGAGTGTATTTCTGCCATGAAAAACAGCTTCTCATAAAGTTACAATCGACGTTCGGAGTCAGCGTAAAACTATAGTTCGCTCCCCTTTGTGTGACAACATCAAGCCGCACGCCACAAATCGGTGGAAAAGCTTGGCCAAACACTAATGGCTCAGTTATGCATACTTGGCATTGCATGAGAGTTGCCACATAAGGAATCTGTTAAATGAGCTTCGCGTGTAAGCTGTTACCCAACGCACAGCATTACATACGTAGAAGTCTGTTGGTTTTTGATTTCCACGTAAAAATGGTATAGCAGTGCATGCACTGCCAAGTATGCATAACAGAGCCTTAACATATCTATTGTGTAAGCGCCAAAAAACAACCAGATGTATGTGAATATGTATGTATAGACATGTTTCCATTGAAGAAGGATATAAGAGGACATGAGAGAAGTCGGTAACGCAGTTAGAAGTGAAATTCTCCTATAGCTAATGCGATTTTTGCAATTTACTGCATTATCTACTAACCTTCTTTTAAGTGGTATATGTATCTACATATGTAAATATGTATATTTATCCCGGATTCGATGCAATTATTGGCGTTTAAATTTTTTAAACAGTTTTAGAAGTTTTGTATGTAGTATAAGTATGTATTCATATGTATATGTATATATTTATTTATGCAAGCCTGCGTGGAAAAACTCATAAATGTACATACATACTTTAACAAAAAATATCCCTTGGTACCTAAAACCTTTATACGATAATGTTTATGCGCCTTGGATTGCTTTTGTAATTTGTAGATTTGCTCCAACTTTCCACCACCAAAACATTTGAAACGCAACAGAGTAATATACAATCGATTGTAGGAAAAAAAAAAAACCATTGGACACCAAAGTTTGGGTACTGGATTTCAGGCATATTGCCTGTGACGATATACCTATGTATGTACATACATACATAAATGCACCGTTTGCCTTCTTATTGTACATAAATAACAAATATACATACATACATATGTATATACAGATGTATGTATATAAATATACATAAAATACGTAGATATGTTTGACTGGAATTTGCTATATGTAGTTGTGACCCTTATGTTTGTTGGCTCTCTCTCTCGGTAAATTGCTTGCTGATAGGAAATTGGGCTACCATTGGACATAAGGGCGCAATTTTTCGATGGCGTGTTAGTGTCTTGGCAGAGCTGTTACGTGAAAGGTGTAGTTTTCGTCATTTTGTCCTTAAACCGTGCAACTGAGCGACTCCATTGGATTTAATATCAAAATATATTCAAAGTGTTAAATGTAGCTTGGCCAAATTCAACATAAAAAGTTGGTGCAATGGATTTCAAGTTGATATGAAAGATTTATGTGTATATTAAGAAAGAAAAAACTGCAATAATATAAAGCCATAAAATAAGTACATACATACATACATATATATGTACTTACATAAATGCGTATTATAATTGTGCTTTGAAAGCCGTTATTCATACATATATATTATACATACATACTTATATGTAGGTATACAGGAAGCAGGAGAACATACTAATTTTATATAGTTACAATTATTATACATAAATTACAACAAAGAAGCATAAAGGGAAACGCTTCAAAAGCGGTACTTTTATGATATAAAAAATACAATGCAATAAAAGAACAACTAAATTAAAATTCAACTCAATACAGGGGAAGTGCAAAAAAGCAAAAATTAAAAAAAAAAACTAAAAAACAAAGACCAACAAAAACTAAAAAAAAATTATTTTGGTTTCGGTTACATTTTCACTGCTGCGGTGCGCCCAAAATTGAAAAAAAAGGAAATTAAAAGCTACCAGGAGGAATTCGAGCGACACCGAAGAGAACGCATAAAAATATTAAAAGGCATTAGATTGGAGCATATCTATGTGCATTTAGGCGTACATACATCTATATACAAACATACATACATATGAACATTTGTACATACATATGTACATATGTGCACACAAAAAAGCTAATGTACATACATATGTATTAATACATAAAAAGCATAGCAAAGCCGAGTTAAAAAGTTGCACAAAAGTGAAGAACAAATCGACTGACATCTTACAAGTAAAATCATACATTGAAACTAATGCGAAATTAAAACATAAAAACTAAGCGAAAACACTAAAAAAAAATCAATTTCATAAATAAAATAATTATCGCATACTCGTTATTCTTGCAACTAAACTACGAAAAAATCAAATTGGGGAAGAAATGAGTCAAGTATTGTCTTAATAAAACTAAAATGCCAAGTATCCATAGGTAGTTGTGGGGCAACAAGAGAAAATATCACACCAGAGAGAGGCACAGAGAGAGAGAGAAGGAGAGCGTGTTGTACTACACACACATATACAATAAGAGAGTGTGCTATAGAAATTTACGAAACTAAACCAAACGATTGGGGATCGAAAACAAAACAAAAATCCCAGCTCGTTAAAGTGTAAGAAAGAAGCAGCAGCACCAACAGCCGCAGAACAAAACAAAAGTCAAATCGTTGAGAAAGGGAAACGGAAAATACCCCATACATTTGTCGGTCTTTCCTTCATTTACTAAAACAGTGATAGTGACAGGCACATCCACAACGGCAACCACAGCGTGAAAGACTTCAGACACAACACACACATACTACAAAAACGCATACAAACACACATACGCATATTTGTATGCCTGTGCCAAGAAATGTAAGTACCTATATACCTTTGTAATATATTGACATTTGTAATGTAAAACAGGATATTCGGAACTGCAATTGTTACAATACGATTTAATCAGGACAGCGATGAACGAGCAAAAAGGATAATAAAACTAGCTTCGCGTAAGCTGTCGTAACGATATGTAGGTACATGAGTCGTCCTTAACTCCCCTGTAGGAAAATGCAAATTATAAGTACAAATTATTTTGCCTACAGCTTTTTGCTTGGGATGACAACCTCTCTGCTGTTGGGTAAATTTTCACCCCATGGAAGTGTGGGGAGAGGGAGCAAGAAGAGGTTGGCTGGCTGGTTAGGGTGTTTTAGTAAAACTACATATAGCGAATTTTCCCAGAGTTTTGGGGGCTGATACTGGACTCACGGTTCTTGGCCAATATTAATCTGGGTCGTTCTGGTTACGTAGACCCGACTGTCGTGAGAACGCTTCTAATCTAAGAATAACGAATTTTCTCTTGTCGGGCTGTCAGATAAATCAACCTAAATAATCACACTTTTATTAGTTATAGCATTCAAGTTACTTATTGATAAATTTTTTACACATGCACTAGCAAATTTTCGTAAAAGTGTCTTTTTTTAGCACTTATGTTTTTATAAATATGCAATCTTTGCAATGTTCACTTGTATTTTGCATATATTAAATGTGATCTTTTGTTTTTGAACAATACAAAATGCGTATACTAATTTCCTTACATTTCTTTAATTAACTGGAATCAAAGTGGCTGTAATGTTGAACCGATAGGTGTTACCAGACGTTCGAAAATTAATTGCACTAAAACGCAGTGATGATTGACAACAATCTACATTTATTTTGTGACCACGATAACATTAAAGAATACAGTGCACTCGCGAAAATTCGAACACACGATAACTTGAACTTTCGTAAGCTTGAACATTTTTCCTACTCGATTGACTACTTCAAAATTCGAACAAAGTGTTTCGTTTATTTCCTATGCGAATTATAGTTTTACTCCAGCTAGCAGCTGTGCAATGGCCGATGCTTACACTGTTGTTCTTGCTATGTGAGCAAATCTCACGAGTTGTTTTTTTTTTTAGTGTCACTCCCTAACGCTAAAGCATTCTTCTTGCATTTATTTCAATCAATGGAGTTCCAGAAACAAGTACAATTATTTGAACAATTTTAGCCTCAAAACGTTTATTTAGGCGAAAAAGTACCGAAATTACTCATGGCGCAATAAACAGGTGAAGTAATAAGGCAGCATTCTCTGTTCATTTTCTGACATTCGGCTGCATTATATTTCACGTTTTATGTGTAGCTTCTTTGGAAGTATTTACATATATTTTGGGGGCAATTTGGCCATTTATTATTTGCTTGCAACATTGTTTTTTTTTCTAAAATTTTCCGTTTGAACTTTTGTGGAAAATTTGTTTTTTTTTTCAAAAATTTTCGTTTGAATTTTTTTGGCAAAAATACTAAATAATTTATTTGTGATTGAAAATTTAATAATGCCTAGGCCAAGCTGTGTACTTTGCAGAAAAACGTGGACTTACGAAGGCGGCCGTTTTTTCCATTCATCAGCGGAGTAGGTTAGGCTAAATAAGTTGGATATTTCAAATGTTTAATGGCGAAGTAATTTCTTGCACCACCAACTTCTCCCAAAAATTATTATCTCACAGCCATGAAATAGACCTCCCAATAAATGTGAAAAAGCCAAAGCAGGATAAATTATTTAAATAAGCGCTTGAAAGGGAAAAGGTCTAATCCGATTAATCTTTATAAGCCTCCCATATATACCTATTTAAATTTATTTGTTTAAACCTTATAACCATTAATATCACGTGTCGTGCTTTTGTATTTACGTTGCTGATTTCATGTATCTAATTTCATCTCTTCATAAAATTGTCAAGATTTGTCTAGGCCGTCGGTGAGTCCTTGGAAATATCCTTTTTGCAAAATCTTTTTTTATTAATTTCACCACTTTGAAAAGTGTTTTTGCCTCAAGGCATCGAGTTGTATAGCATTAACTGTCACTTTTAATTGGTTACTGCATTGGCTACTTTTATTAAGATTTTTGTATGCATTTGTCGGTGAGTCCTTGAGTCCCCATTTTAACACATTTTTCTGCCTAAAAATATCAGTTTGTGCGGCATTAACATGATGTTTTGAAACCATAGTTGGACCTTTCATCTAGAATGATATGCACACTTCTCAATCTGATTGATTAAAAAAAAGAAAAAAAAATTACATTGAGTAAAAGGTGACTATGATTTGAGAAACTAAAATTCTGTTTTCACAATTTTTATTGGTGCACTCGAAATTCAATCTAAAATTGTTATATATTTACATACATGAAGAAAGAAATAAATACATATGTGCATAAGGAATACTGTGTAATAATCTTAAACGCCAATATTTAATTACTTTTAAATAATGTGGCTTTCAAGTTAAGGCGTGCGAGTAAACGTGTTAGATGACTGCGTATGGTGCTATGGGGCGTATACGTTACATACGCAACTATGGGTATATGAGCATGAGTGTTTTTTTTTATACCCGAGCGTTTGGTATTTTTAAGTTCTCTTAAATACTAAAATTTCTAAGATTTCTAGTTGTTCCTATAGTGAGTTTTTTTCAATTTCTCATGCTTCTTTAAATACATCTTTAAAATTGTAATGCTATGTACAATTAAAAAAAAAAAAATACGTGTTCATTTAATTTTCAAGCAGAAAATCATACTTTATTTACCGGTTACAAACTTTTTATTACCCGCGCAGAATAGACCTGTATATCTAACTTACATAATTCCTTTAGACAGTTACAAACAACCGTTATGTGAACAAAGTTATAGTACCCTTGTGCACAAGTGCGCTGGGGTATAAAAATACAAATGATCTATTCGATGACTCGAACCAGTCTGGTTTTCATTTGTTCAAGTTATCGCTAGTGCACTGTACAGATATGAACGTATAAGTATAATGTACTTTTTAACCGACTTCCAAAAAAGGAGGAGGTTATCAGTTCGTCGGAATATTCTTGTTTTTTTTTGTTTTTTTTTTTATGTATGTTACCGCATAGCTTTGGACCACGTCAACCGATTTCGATAATTCCTTTTCCATCGGTAATGTCTTAGAGGTGCTCCCATACTAATCTGGTTTAGATCCGATCATTAGATCATGAAATATATGTATATAGATATATATATAGTTTTTTTAAGTCGGATTTTTTTGCTAAAAGTTACTTGTTAAAATATGTTGAGCAAGGAGCTCTGCGCAAAAACACTGTGAATGGCGCAGCCTGTGTTGGATTGATAAGAGTAATTTTTTGAAGTTAGGTGCAAACAGGACTTCTGCGCAAAAATATTGTATAATTATTAAATGAATCTTTAGCCTTCTCTTTGTTTGTCTACATGTATAGTTTTTAGTAATTATTTTTCTGAAATTATTTTAATCGTCTGGCCGCACCAACATTCGCGTGCACTTT